CCCCCCCCCCCCCCCCCCCACAAAAAAAAACACGCAATTACATGTTTACCTTACAGCAAACATAAAATTAATGGCAATCTGTCATGTTTGGTCACATTAAAGTTGGACTAATATGCAATGCTGGGATCAGTGATTTGACTTACAATATTCAGTATTTTAACCAAAAAACTGACTTTAAAACACTCCACATACAATGGAATATTTCCATTCTCTTATATTAGGATATTTGGGTTAAAATGATGCAACTTAACTGGAGTTATATACTGTCTACTCAGCCATTTTTATTGAAGCAATCTAAAATAAGTGACCACTGCAGTTTAATCATGCTTCAAATCAAGAGTCTGCATAAATTCTATTCAATTTTTCAATTCATCTTTATTTATATTGCAATTTTACAATGCAACTTAACATAGAAGATTATAGTAAATAGAAACTGTCAGTCCAGTTTTTAGAGTTGAAGTTCGGTTTAGTTCAGTTCAGTGTGGTTTAATTTTCCCTGCCTAAAGTCCAAACACTAAAGAGCAAATCCATCAATGCGCAGCTCCAGTGGTGACAGCAGTGAGGAACAAACTTCAACAATTGACGAAAGTGAAGGAAAAAAGACCCTCAAGAGAAACCAGGCTCATACGTTTGCAGTGGTTATTTTTAATCAGGTTGCATAATTTCAAAATATGAAGCAAAAGCATAATGGTTAGACTGATCTTCAGCTTTGTGAAATTAAACTACACAAAACAGCCACAAACAAGCATGCACACCGAGGCCATTTTACTGTCTGCCTGTTGGTGTCACTAACAGAATCATTAGAAATCTAGAATTACCATTATTGCCACTGTCGACAAAGTAGAGCTACCATGGCTTTCTTAATGCATTCTGCACAGATATAATGCATTAAATTGAATCGTTTTGCCTACACGGTGACACAGAGGCTCAATGGTTAGCACTGTCGCCTTACAGCAGGAAGATCCCTGGTTTGAGCTGGGTCAGTTTGCATTTCTGTGTGGAGTTTGCATGTTCTCCCCGTTGTTGGTTTGGGTTTTCTCCGCGTGCTTCGGTTTGCCACACAGTCCAAAGTAATGCACTGTAGATGAATTGAATAAGCTAAATTGGCCGTAGTGTATGTGTGTGAATGAGTGTGTATGGATGTTTCCCAGTACTAGGTTGCAGCTGGAAGAGCATTTATTGTGTAAAACATGCTGGATAAGTTATTCATTCCGCTGTGGCGGCTGTGGTGAATAAAGAGACTAAGCTGAAGGAAAATGAATGAATATACTTGATACAAAGTGACCTGTACTTACTATTTCTTTATAATGATTTGTGAAATTGTATGATTTTTTTTTTATTTGTCAGTGTTTCAGGCAAATAGATCTAATCTGTTGTTTTCTAAGCAGGTTTGCTCCGAGGAATCTTTAGATGAGATTCTCCACCGATACCTGTTCTACAATTCCCATGCCGCAAGCTACACCTGGAAACTCAGTGGTATAAATCTAGACATGAGTAAGACCCTTAGTGAAAATGGCATCCCCGAGGAGGACGAGTTTTACTGCGGAAGCCCAGACTGTAACCTCTTCTCTCCATCTATTTGTCTGTACTTTAACGACGACCTCACTGAACTCTAAAGACACACGCTATTAAAGCGAACAACGGCGTGTAATTCATTACAATATCATATCCTCTGGAAGCAAATTTATGTTGCAGTCATTTGAGCGAGAGGCATGAACGCCACATCAACTATTCATGTTTCCAGTGTTTCATCGATTCCTGCCGGTGCTTATCTTATTGCAGCTCTCTGGGCTTTATCCAATCAAATACTGAGCAACAGAATAAAGAAGATGAATGCCAGCCTACATAATAAACCCCTGAACCATAAAGTCTGGTGGTTGCCATGGTAATTGCTGGGAGGAAATGCAGCAGCTACTGTATTGTAGGCCACAGCAGGCTCTCAACCCTAATTAAGTAGCATTATATGTGTATGCATGTGCACGGAAATGATTTCATGCAGTCAACATTTGGGTTCAGTCGATGCTTTATAAAACTTATTTTTGAGATGCCGTTAACATCTGCTAGTGTGGATCTTTTTTTGGCGACCGCTTTCTTTTGCCTACTAGCTTTAAATGACATTTTGTGGGGTTGGCTTTGTGCTGTGTATGTACAAGAACGAACAGTTATGGCAAATATACTTTAAAATAAGCTAATAATCACACAAATCTGGTTGTAAGCTAATGTCCAACACAGGCACAGACGTTGTAGTTTAGTTTTTATTTTCTCGTTTTAATTTAAGAAGAGTTGCCTCATGGGGGCAACACGGTGGTTTAGTGGTTTGCATTTACGCCTCACAGCAAGAAGGTCGCTGGTTTGAGTCCCAGCTGTGTCATTTGCCATTTTTCTGTGGAGTTTCCATGTTCTGCCCGTGTACACACAGTTTTCTCTGAGTGCTCCGGTTTCACCCACAGTCTAAAGACATGTATTATAGGTGGATTGAATAAACTACATTGGCCATAGAATGTAAATGAGTGTGTATGGGTGTTTCCCTGTTCTGGGTTACAGCTGGAAAGGGCATCTGTTGTGTAAAACATATGCTGGATGAGTTGCCGGTTTATTCCACTGTGGTGACCCCTGATGAATAAACCCTACAGGCACAGGATGTCAACATGACGTCATATTGATTTTTTACCCCAACGTCGAGGGGATCTTGGATCTTGTATGGAAATAAAAAATCGGGTTGACGTCAGAACCCAACATCAGGTCGACGTCAAAAGTGCAACTTTCAACCTAAAATCAATCAAAATCAACATCTAATCATGTTACACCTTGGCGTTGTGTGGACGTTACCACTATGACATTTATCAGACGTTGGATTTTGATCATTTAACAACACAACCTAAAATCAATTAAATATCATTGTCTTACATGACACACCTTGACGTTGTGTGGATGTCACCACTATTACATCCATCAGACATTGGATTTTGGTCACTTTTCAACACAACCTAAAATCAACCAAATATCAACATCTAATGGTGTTACATCTTGACGTTGTGTGTACGTTATCACTATGACATCTCTCAGATGTTGGATTTTGGTCACTTTTTAACACAACCTAAAATCAACCATTTATCAACGTAATTTAAAGTTGTTATTGGACGTCAAAATATTGTTGTCCTTAGATGCTGGCTAGACATTGAATTTTGGTCACCTGATGTCATAACCTAAATTTAAACTAATGTGAAGGTCTTATTATGATGTTGTGTGCCTGCAAGGAAGGGACTAAGCTAAAAGAAAATGAATGAATGGATGCGCTCCCTAATCATGCAGTTTTGGAAAACTACAATATATGATGAATTATAAGTAAAATTAATATTATAAATGCTATATATTATAACTTTATTTTTTTCTATTAATATATTTTATAATATAAACGATTCTTTTATTTGCTAGCTTTTTCGTTAAAGCACAAGTACCAGAAATGAAATAGGGAGCCTTCAAATCTGGGAAAGCCTCAGAACTGCAAGTGTATGCCATTTCTAGTTTACATTATAAAATGAACAATAAACTGCAAGTTCAGTGTATTTCACACAGAAAAGCATGGTTAGATAACGGTTTATAATCAAATAATTTGAGTAATGCAGCAGTCAAACGCACAAAATGATCAAAGTTATTCTATTTTCTTTAGCTAATAATGAATTTAGTGCTGGGCAGCTCTCCGATAACAAGCTTTGTCTTGCCCTCACCTCAAACAGTTAAGCAAAATAATCCCAAAAATCTGGTTGTAAGCTAATCTAGCACAGGTGCAAATGCTGTAATTAGTTTTTTATTTATTTATTTATTAAAGAATTCTCATTTAATGTAAAAACAATGGATCCAGCTTCATTCAGTTTTGGAAAACTACAATAGACCTATATGATGAATTTAATAAATGTGGGATTTATAGGCATGAAAGGCATGGATATTAGTTAAGAAAATATTGAAAAACTTTTATTACATTTCTATTTCTATACCCATTTTTATCAGAATAAATAATATGTATGCAAATCTGTATTGATTAGAATTTAAAAACAGTAATATAAATGTTATGATTTATAAAACTTTATTTTCATTCTATCAATATAATTGATAATAATAACTATTTTAATTTGCTAGCTTTTTATGTAAAGCAGAAGTATCAGACATTAAATGGGGAGCCTTCAAATTTGGAAAAGCCTGTAAACCGCTGGTAAATATATGACACCAAATATAGCCTACATTGGAAAATGAAGAATAAAGTGCAGGTTCAGCGTATTCCACAAAGAAGGCATGGGTGAATCCGCGTGCACAGATAACCGGTGATTTGCGGCATGCCAACTCGTGCCCCTTAACCATGCAGTATTTGCTAATAATTTGCGTAATGCAGCAGCCAAACGCGCAGAATGATCAAAGTTATTCTATTTGCTTTAGCTAATAATTAATTTAGAGCTGGGAAGCTCTCTGATAACTTGCTTTGTTTTGCCCTCACCTCAAACAGTTAATTTTTAAGCAGTGCAACATGATGTAAGTGTGGGCATGGCTGCGGCAGCGCTTTCCCTCTAGCCAGCCTCACTCTCATCAGCCCCATTCCCTCCACACATTTCTATTTGTTTTTTTCAAAGGTGGGGGCTTAAAGAATATTAAGGTGGCCATGTTTGTTAGATTCGTGTCGCGCTTGCATTGCTTTGCGCACAGTGCGCGCCGCCGCCACTGCGTGCACTTTCGGAAAAACCAGACAGTTACAGGCAAGAGTCTGCAGCAGTGAGAGAACACGAGCACACGCAATAAAAGCAGCTCACAGACAAGTTGCATTTAGCAAAACGCCTCCCTACTGTAACAAAGTGCTTATTTTTAAGGAGGGAGGGGAGACTAGAGAGAGAGAGGGGGAGAGAAAAAAATAAAGAAAAAAAGGAGGAGGAGAAGGAGGGGGGCGTTCTGAAATAATATAGTCAGCCATTTTTATGTAAGGGGATTTTTCTTATGGGGGGGGGGGGGGGGGGGGGGTTGTTAAAAAATAAATATAAGGGCGGCCATCTTTGTTTCTCTGCCTTGTAGTGTAAAATATTCCAAAACGCCCCCCACTTTTTGTGTGTCGATTTGAATATTACATAAATATCATAATTTGGAAGGAATACACTTTTAGATCTCGCGGAACGGGGTCACCGACGGGAATATAATGTCCTCTCTTCTCCGTTCTTGTGAGGAAGATGAGGGCACGGCGGTTAATTCCGAGGGAGGAGATTTTGATGAAGAAGAAGAAGACGACGGGGACCTGGACGAGAACGCAAGCGACATAAACTCACCGGCGGCGCCTCGAGAAACTGCAGCAAGAGCCGCGCCAGGTACCGTACTGTCCGCGGCACACACGGGAGCGCGCGTTGGGCACAAAAACACAGCGAAACTAATCAAGAATCCTCCGAAAACTGCGACAGCTGCATCCAGACATCCATTCTGGATGCTCTGAAGCGGTCAGCTATTGTGTGTGCTTTATTTATCCGCGTGCGTTGTGGCTAGGAGTTGCATGGAGTTTGGCTAAAGTTGACCGTTCCCCCTCTTTCTGTCCCGTCTGTGTCATTCATCAGGTCTGTCATGGGATGGTGCTTTCTCATCTCCCGCTGTGATCTGACAAAGGATCATTAAGCCGCCACCGTCCCGTGTTTTCTTTGCCCTGAAGGTTCGAACTTAATACTTAGGCAGATAAAGACAGATAAGCCGAAGCACTGATCTAAATGCGGGTGAGAGAGAGGCGTGAGCGTCAGGACTACCGCTTTGAATTGTGACAATGTAAATAAACTTGACCCGACCCACTGGTTCAGCACAGGGCACGGAGATGCTTTCACTTTGTGAAATGACAGTTTGCACGCTGTCATCAGCCCTCAGGCGGTCTCACGGTGTGACTGTGTCGATAAAACGCCTCATTATTGTGTGTATGTCACTATAATGACATCAACAGATAGTGATGAGGGAAAAGTTTCCGCTATTTAGTCGATTACGTGCCAGTAGTTGACAAAGACGTGAACTGATGCTCAGTCATTTTCCTAAAAAATGACTCCTTAAGCAGTTTTACACTTCATCCTAAATATAACTTATTCCAACTTTTATTTAAACAGTGTTTTGTCACATCTGGGGCCTCGGCGTCTCGCGCATTCCCACAGTGCGCGTGAATCAATTAGCACGCACGCGCGTCCTGTCTCGCCCCCGCGACCTTCAGCTGCGGGTCATCCGGTGGTCTGCTCCCCTGGTGCGGGAGTTCAAGACGCGGGGAGCATCAGCTCGGCTCGCGGCCTCTCAATCACCGAGCCCCGAGTGTGTGTTACTGCCGCCCCTGGCTGCTGCAGCGAGCGGGAAAAAAGGCTCTGCCCGCGCGCCCCAGCAACAAAGACAATATCAAATCCATCTCGTTTATCGCAGCGCAATGGCGATAGCTCTGCGTTATCAGACATTACGTGCTGATATTTCTGCTTCGGTTGCACATTTGTAAAAACAAGCTGTATCAGGGTGAACGATACACAGTCAGACGTGAGTACTTGTTAAGTGAGGAGGCATTTCTGTGTTATCTAACTCTAAAATCTGTTCGGTTATTTTAAACTAATTAGTCATATTAGTATAATAGACTACTGGGTAATATTATGACTAAAGCCTACATCTGGTTTAGGGACTAAAAAGAGTTTCATACACAGAGCTTTCTGCTTAAAATGAAAAAGAAAACTGGATTTTATGATAATGGTTTTACGTATCTGCTGTAAATACAGTAGCATAGTAGCTGTTTTGTTTAATAATACAACAATGATAATAAAAATATTAATAATACATTATTATATAAACGTTAAGAATGCCTTTTAAGAATATTTTGATTTTTTGTTGGTGTTCATCATCACAGCAACAGAGGCTTGAAAACTCTTTCAGCTTAGTCCCTTATTTATCAGTGGTTTCCACAGCAGAATGAACCGCCTGCTTGAAAACTTAATAGGCGATTTATTGTCAAGCGTAAACATTTTAACATTTAAGCTGGCCTTAAACAAACTATAAGACTCCTTTTGTTAACATTATTGGAACTAAACAAACGATAACTACCCACTGTAAAGCACTTATACTCAATCTTAGGTGATGTTTATTTAATGTTTAACAACTGACGACACAGTGACTTAGTAGTTAGCACTGTCACCTCACAGCAAGAAGGTCGCTGATTCGAGTCCCGGCTGGGTCAGTTGGCATTTCTGTGTGGAGTTTGCATGCTTGTATTGGCGTGGGTTTCCTCCAGGTTCTCCGGTTTCCCTCACAGTCCAAAGACATGTGATATAGGTGAATTGGATAAACAAAGCTGGCTGTAGTGTATATTAGTGAATGAGTGTGTATAGATGTTTCCCAGTTCTGGGTTGCAGCTGGGAGGGCATCTGCTTTGTAAAACATATACTGGATAAGTTGCCGGTTCATTCCACTGTGGCCACCCCTGATGAATAAATGGACTAAGCTGAACGAAAATGAATGAATGTTTAATAATTTGGAAAAATTTAAATCAATAGTCAAAGCTGTTTTATTAGTTTAATTAAGCTAACGACTAATAAAGTTAGCTGTATTTGTATTAAGCTAACGTTAACAACGAATCTGATTCTCACTGTTGATGTTAGTTAATGCATTAGTTAACGTTTACTAATGAGACTTTAAAAGATCGTAAAATGTACTTTATGAACCAAATTAATCTTGTCTAGATCATTTATGTACCATAAAGCAATACACAAAAGGCATGGTTCTTTTAGTTATTATACCTGTTATAGGTTAAATAATACATACCTGTCTTTTAGTTAAAATAACCGCTTTTTTGCAGCTTATGTCAATATGATGATAGTACTGATGAATAACTTTAGCAGTTCAGAACATTTATACCATCAAATTCCACTTTGCCCCTCTGAAAGATGATGTCTATATCAAACCTGTTATAACACACATATAATTATTAATTTTCCTTCATCTTAGTTCCTTGTTTATCAAAGGGATGCCACAGCGGAATGAACCAACTGCTATATTCCATCATGTGTTTTACGCGGTGAATGCCCTTCCAGTTGCAATCCAGTAATAGGAAACAACTCGCACATTCACTCATACACTCATATACCATGGACAATTTTTGTTTACCTTATTCAGCTACACCTCAGGTGACATGGTGGGGCAGTAGGTAGTGCTGTCGCTTCACAGCAAGAAGGTCACTGGTTTGAGCCTCGGCTGGGTCAGTTGACGTTTCTGTGTGGAGTTTGCATGCTCTCCCTGCGTGGGTTTCCTCCGGGTGCTCCAGTTTCCCCCACAGTCCAAAGATATGCGGTACAGGTGAATTGGATAGGCTAAATTGTCCGTAGTGTATGAGTGTGTATGGAGGTTTCCCGGAGATGAGTTGCAGGTGGAAGGGCATCCGCTGCGTAAAAACATGCTGGATAAGTTGGCGGTTCATTCCGCTCTGGCGACCCCTTATTAATAAAGGGACTAAGCCGAAAAGAAAATGAATTAATGAATAATTTAGCTATACAGCAGGCGACATGGTGGTGCAGTAGGTAGTGCTGTCACCTCACAGCATGAAGGTCGCTGGTTCGAGCCTCAGCTGGGTCAGTTGGCGTTTATGTGTGGAGTTTGCATGTTCTCCCTGCATTTGTGTGGGTTTTCTCTGGGTGCTTTTCACATCGTTCCTAAGTGATGTTTATTTTCATATTTTCTTCAGCAGAAAATCTTATTTCTTTCAGTCTGGCTGCAATAGAATCAGTTTTTACATGTTTTTAAAAAACAATTAGGTCAATATTATTAGTCCTCTTACGAAATATAATTTTTAATTGGCTACAGAACAAACACTGTCGTCCAATGACTTGCCTAATTACCCTAACTGGCATAATTAACCCAGTTAAGCCTTTAAACAGCACATTAAGCTGAATAGTAGTGTTTTGCTAAATAACCTGTAAAATATGTACTGTCATCATGGCAAAAACATAAGAAATTAGTCAAGACAGCTTATGTTAAGGGGCTGGTTCGAGTCCAGACTGGGTCAGTTAGCATTTACTAATTTTTGTTTATTGTTTACAATGCAAATCCAATTTGATCCACTTATTTGGTAAACAAAGCAAGTCTCCCATATTATATATCTACTAAATGACAGAAAATATTAAACTGTATTCTAAATAAATCATATCAAAATGTAATAATACTTTTATTGTATCACAATTATATTTGTGAAATTATTTTAAAAACTGGATAAATATAAATGTGCACACATTTACACAAGTAAATACATAGACTCAATGATGGGCTAAAAATTTCTGCGCGTGCCGATTCCATGTGGGCCTAGTTATTGGTAAATTAAATAAACTAAATTGGCCGTAGTGTATGTGTGTAAATGTAAGTGTGTACGGATGTTTCCCAGTATTGGGTGGCACCTGGAAGGGCATTCACTGTGTAAAACACATGCTGGATAAGTTGCCGGTTCATTCCGCTGTGGCGACCCCTGATGAATGAAGGGACTAAGCCGAAGGAAAATAAATGAACTTATGTTCATTTTAAAAATGTGTTAAAAACCTTCTCTCTGTTAAACAGCACTTGGAAAATATCCGAAAAAGAATCCAATTTCACACAAGGGCTAATAATTTGGCCTTAAATTCTGCCCTATTTTGAATATATACCCATATAAAAACCCATCGAGCTCATCTGACAGATTTACGTTTAAAGGAAGAAATGTGAGTCACTTAATTTTAATCCTAAATATTTGACTTGAAGTAATTCCTTCTGCTCTCACCATGACTTGAAATGCTCGTCATATGGAGAGCTGCATACAATATTTATCATCGTCTTAAAATTCTCTCCGTAAATAGCTTTCCATGAGAGCCGGTTGTCATAATTAGGTCACGTAGATAATCATGTTTGCGAGATTAATTCATTAAGTCCTACAGCTTAGTTAGGAGTCAGAAGTGGAATGGCTTATATTTCCTGCGCGACAGTCTCTGTCTCTGCGCCGCTCGTGTTGTTCAATAATTGAAGTGGGAAATGATTTGAAGGATACCTCGGAGGGCTCGCCGAGAATCATGGTCACTCTAGTTTCATCAGTTCTCCCGTGTTCGCTCATTTCCCTGCATCTCTCTCTTTCAGATGATGGAGACGACATTGGCGAGGCATCGGACAGGGACAACCTGGGGAAAAAGAAACGAGGGCCTAAGAAAAAGAAAGAGACGAAGAAGAAAGACAAGGAGAAAGAGGGAAAGATCGCCAAAGCACGCAAGCGGAAAAAAATTGTATGTGGCTTATATTGTTCTTCTGTCTTGATATTTAACTGGGGCTTTTATTAAACTTTGATTTAATTAATAATTCACAATCCACCAAATTTATTTTTATCGAACTACAGATGAAATGGCATGCTCATTAATGAACCCTAATTATCTGCAAATACTCATTTGTATTATCTGTAAATACAGCCGGGAAAATTAGTATTGAACAAGTCATGTTTTTTCCTGGTAATAATATTACTAAAGGAGCTACTGACCAGATTTTGGTAAAAACCCAAACAAATTCGATTACCCATTATAGAAGTTTTTACTGATCAGTTCGACATTTCTAACTCAAGATTCCTGGAAGATTCAGGCATTCAAATTACCAATGAGAACTGGATAAAGTCTATCAAGGTATATAAATAGATGAAGCATGAAGAGTTCAAATGCTAAAACCTCTAAAAGCCATTTGATATTTTCTTCTAGAATTAAAATTTTCTCTGACTCCTATATGTAGGCTCAGTAATTTTACTTTTGTAGTGAAGAATAAGTTATTTTCATTGATTTTCAAGTAAAATAACTGAACATAAAAATAGGAGGCTGAAAAAATGCACATTTTAAGAGAAAAATTCTGACGGCATTTAGAGGTTTATGCATCTGAAATCTTTACCTGTTCTATTAACTCAAGACTCTTACTTATCAAATATAAAGTAGTACATTGGCTTCATTATTCTTGGGTTAAGCTTAACTAATTCTACCCCTCCATCTCTTCTAAATGTAACAAATGTGAATCTTTTTTGGTCATGCCCAAAACTTTTTGAGTTTTGGAGTGAAATTTTCAGCTCCTACTCTAAGGCTTTTTCTTGTGAACTTGCCCCTTTTGCTTGGTCTGATTCACTTTGTGGGTTCAGTCATCAATTTAAAAAAGCTGTCCAATATGCCAGCGGTTCCCAACAGAGGAGTCCAGGCCCACAAGGGGGCCTCAGCTAGCTCTGTGGGGAGTCGTGTCATATTTTTAAAATTTTTTCAGCAGTTCATTTTATCCCCTGGCTGACCAAAATAATTGACAAATTTGTAATTCGTCCTCCACAAAAACAACTGAGTCTCACTGATTCGCCTTCAGCAGCTAGTAGTAATGACCCAAGTGTAGGGATAGTATACAGTTTAACCCAAAGAATGACCAGTCTGGTAGATGAAGAAGAGCCAGAGTCAAAGATTTAAATAAATAAATCAAGTTTACTGAAGATAGTTTGCAGTTTCATCCGAAGAAGCCAGCTTCAACACTCCCAATGAGTTCCTAGGCCGCTCTGCTTACAATCACCAATCAATAACAATTATACTCTCACATAACGTCATTAACTGCGTCATACATATAGGTGTTCTAACCTGATTGGTTAAAACACAGATAGGCTTGGAAAATTTCCACGTGGAGTTTGTGCGTATATTCTGAACAATATCTTAAGCATAAACGTCAGACATCCATTGGACTGATTAGAGCTGACTCCAGACCTGTGAAACGGATCAACAATCAAATAAAACACACACACACACTTAAAGTACAATCTGTTTCTCATCCAAGGCTGAGTGTATTCTCAGCAGTCTTTATCAAAACTGGTTAAAAACCGGTATAATCTACATTCAGGCAGTTATATTCTTACTATACAAAGTCTATCTTGAATAAAAGTAGAATAACTTTAAAAGATTTAATAATTTTTGCTATTGTATTGTATTCCTATTGTAAAAATAGCAAAGTCACTTTAGACATTTTAGTTAGTAATAACTACTAGAAATAACAATAGAAACAGTTGATTCCAATCCTCAGCCATCAGTTGCACTCAAGGTCTCCGTGACCTCTGACCTAGTTTGGTGGCTTCTGAAAGTAGTTATAAAGAGACAGGCAAATGCACTGAACATTCTTATATTAAGCAATGTGTTCACTTATTCATTAATTAAAATCAATTCAAAGTTAAATACTCATTCAAATGATCAAATAACTATATTTAATAAAAAATTATGAGAAACAAGAAGATGAGAAAAGGATAAACGTTGGTCCATGATGAGACGGATTAGAAAGCAGAAATCCGAATCCTTCACAAGCATACTGGACTCAAAACATTTTGGGTTGCAGCGCTAGCAATACTGGAAACACAACATGCAGGAAATAATAAGATAGCTACCTGAACTATGATTTTATTCCTTTTTCTCGAAGCAAAGTGTTCATGACTCAGCCACATGCAGTTTTTTGTCATCCTTACTGCAAACTTATATGTGGAGGGGGGCCTTACAATATTTTCCGGGGGAAAAAGGGGTCTCAGGCAAAAAAAGGTTAGAAAACAACTGTAATATGCAATGTTGGTAGCTAAAAATGATTCTTTGTCTGTGGAATAAGGATTTAAAACCATTTTTTAAATTCTGGCTTTCAGAATTCCCTCAGATTTTAGAGAGATTTTAGAGAGACAATCGTTATGAAAGCATTGCTTTGAAGCCCCCTGGAAGCCCCTTTTTTATGATTCAATTTTTATTTTCTTTTTCTTTAATAATTTCACAATACAGTCAGTTTACACATTTTACCTCCTTTTAACATCCCCTTATCCCTCCCCTACCCTACAGCGGCAGTGCTGTCATTTAGTATTGCTAATATAGACCCAGTAAACACAAATACTTATTATTAAACTCCATATGAACAGTAACAATACAATAAAACATAAAAAAAAAATAAAAAATAAAAATAAATAAATAAATGAATACACCTGGAAGCCCTTTTTAAATTATCTGTCAAATGTCAAGGATAACAGCTTAAAGGTATGATCCTGTCATTGTTTGCATATTGTCGCCATACTGGCCGTGCCCACTGGCCTAGAAATATGTGTAACATTGTTAACCTATGTATAAAACTGGAGGAAGTGATGTAACAATGGTTTTAAAATCCTTTTTTTCTTCTGTTTTTTGTCTGTTTTTGTGTTTAGTTTGCGTTTTCTTTTCTGCCTTTATCGTTGTTGTTGCCTTTTGTATTGCTCTGTGTTGCTTTAAGGTAAAAAATATATAATATAAAAGAAACATATTATAAAAAAATTAAAACAAAACAAAAGAAAATTTTTTGAAAAATTAGTTCTGTGTAATAACAATGAAATGACACAAGGAAAAAGTACTGAACTACTGAAACCTATTTACCTATATATCTTATATAAAAAGCTTTTTTGGTGCTGGCAGCTTAAAGAATCCTCTTATATTGAGAATGAAGTCACATGAATTACTCAGGTGTGATTTTTTCACAAACTTCGACAGAGTGTAAATATCTTGATGGTTTTGGGGTCTCGTCTATTAAATCTGATCTTTAATTTGTATTCTATATTGGATTCATGTCAGGTGATTGGCTAGGCCATTCTACAGGTTGATTCTCATTCAGGTTTTCCAGTCCAATCAGTGCTTTTTTAAACACTATTGGTTGGGTTTAGGGAAGGAGGAGAGTGGGGAGATCTTGTCAAATAACCAGCGATCGATATCAAGAGATCGCTGGTTCTCACACGAACTCTCAGAACTACATTTCCACATTTCCCAGGACTACATTTTCATACATGCACTGCTCCCAGACACCCATGCTCATTCATCTAGCTTGATTGCACACACCAGCTGAACCTTGTCATAGTCTGATAGCACACCATACATAAGCCACTCATGAACCCATCCAGTTTGCCGAGTCTTGTTTTCCCAGTGTGACATTACAACGCGTTTCTCCTTGTCTTGTTTTCTCCGTGTTTAGACCCTAGCCTTGTTTACCCTTGTTCTCTAGTTTAGCCGCCTGCCTTTTGACCTGTTGCCTTTTTATACCGACTACGATTCTGGACTGCCTTAACACACCCGTTTGCACCTGTATGACCACTGCTTGCCTGACGCTGAATAAACCGCCATATTGGATCTTACCTTCTGTTGTGAGTGTCACTCCCCCCAGTCGTTACAGATCTGTCGGTTGGTCAGTCAGTCAGTCGACAGCGGCCTCTGGTGTATTTACATGAGAACAGCAGGCGTGAATGGCACTCGCAAGAGAAATTTGAGATCTGAAAAAGCATACACAGCAGCCTTTGGTGGATTCGCGAAAACAAAAACTGCAAAAAAAAAATGAAGCTCCTGGGACATATTTTGCTCTATCCAGAAATGCATAAAGGGGTACGTAATCAGAACGAGCCTAGGTTGGTTTTGGATCATCGTCTTGCTGAAATGTCTACCCTGGTTTCATCTTTATCATCTTGCTAATGTGGATGTTAAAATGAAGCAGCTAATGTTAATTTACCGTGATGAAGGGCAGAGGGTTGCTGAATAAAAGCTGCAGTTCAGCTGCTGTCTGGGCTTTCACTGCCTTTCTACTCCTTTTCCTCATGTGTTCAATACATTTTCTCTGTGTCATTTCATTTTATTAAGCATAACTTCATTTGAAAAGTAATTAGATTTGTTTTCTTTGCATATATGTATTTCTTTGGTAGTTACCTAAATCCGGGGATAATTTCAAGTCAACAGCACCTTAGAAATATGTTTTCTGAGAAAAATGATGACATGTTCAATACTTATTTTTCCCTCTATATATGTTGAAAAGGTCACCTTGAATGACAGAATTTAAGGAAGAAGCCTTTAAAATTGACTAATTGCTCAAATTTATTACTAAATTTATATACATATTTAGTTAAATATGGTATAAAAAGAGTGAATGCAATATTTTGGCAGCCCTAATTATTTGGCCTCAAGATTGATATTATTTTCTTTCTCTCTTTTTTCAGGAGAGTGACATAGAGAGAGACTCAGAGCCGGACTATGCCATGAACTCTGACAGTGCTGCCAGTGATTATGGAGGGGAGAAGAAAAAGAAGAAGAAACACAAGGACAAGAAGGAGAAGAAAACCAAGAAAAAGAAGAAAGAGGATGAAGACAGCACGCATGAAGAGACCACAAAGGTCTTCCGTCCTTTTGTATTCTTGTCTTCTTTGCTGTTGTAGGCTGTGTGCTCATCCTAACCATTATCTGTGTCCAAATCAAACACAATCAGCCCATTGTTAAGTTTGAAATTGAATTAATTTACCCAAGTCGAAGAAAGAAAACCGATTTAAAAATATAAACATTCTGACTTGGCTCAAGTGGTGTAGAAATTGCATGCCTATTTCTGTGAATGTATTTTTATTTTTTTTCTAAATGAGTTAAAAAATGTATCTAGGGGCAAATATACTTTAATTCAGGTGTACAGTAATTACAGGTGCCATAGAATGAAAATCTAAATATACCTGGCAAATCTAAACAATAAGAGTTCAGTACATGGTTATAATGACATGCCTCATGAGCCTCAAACCCCATTGTTTTCTTTCTTTCATATAAGTCATGTCAGTGTAAAATCCCACTGAAAATCAAGCCAATCAGAACAGAACATCAACTTTGATTATTTTAATATGCACTCCCTAGGCAGCGTTTGATTGGCCACAACATTTCCTTGTGAGATTACAACAATGATAATTTTTCCCCATATATTTAAGTTCTATGCTTGTATTAAACTTTCTATGTACGTGGGACTTTTATTTTAAAATTGGGAGAGGCAGTGAGACTAAAAATGAGCATTTTTTTAAGCAGTCAGACCACCGGATGTTCACAGCTCATCAGAATGCAAAATGTAGGATAGACGAATTATAAATTTATTCAGCACCACTCCAAAGATGCACATTGTCTAGTTAAATGTATTGTTTGTTAGTTTAACATGTATATTGTGTGAAATTTGCAGTGTATATTTGTAACGAGGCAACAAACACATGTAAACTGCTTAATATAAGAGTTTATGCAAGTTTATGCATCGTGTCATATCAGTTAGCTTTTTCTGTGATTTCTTGTGTGCACGCGATGGCACCTCTACTTAAATTATATTAACACGGACTACTGATGAAACACAAATATCAGCAACAACAAAACAACAGAGTTCACAAGATTTCAAAACCATACAAATTGGCCTAATTTGACCAAACATCCATTATTAGTCAGAGCCTCAAATTTATACTTGATTATTTTGAATTGTTAATATGTACGTTATATGTTTACACGCTTTGAGCCAAATCAATTTATGGAATATTACAATTTAGTCATTCCAAGTTGTGATAGTTTAATTAATGATTTGATTAGGACAATTTTGAAAATTACATCAAAACAGCGTCATTATTAAAGCTAGCAAAAATGATCTAATAGTATGTTTACCATATTTTCCAGAAAATAAGTTGCACTTGATGGCTCAGAATAGCTTTCTGTCCTCTCAAACTCTGTTGTCATGTACATGAATGGTCAAAATTCTTAAAACCTATTGTTTCTAATTAAAAGCAATGTTATGTAATCTTACCCTCAATACCAGTCAATAAACTGGTTTATTTACAGATAGAATCAGAACTAACGAGGTGTTTTCTTGAGAGCTAGTGTGAGCACTATTTATATGCCTGAAATTAGTATTCATGTAAAGTGTTTGCAATCAAATCTTCACACATTCACAAACACATATGCAAACACATGATCAGACGTTCTTCTTGCGCTTGCATTTAGGAATTATGAAAGATTGTTGAGAACATAACATGGTGTTTCTGCTTCATGTCAATAATAATATACCACACACATAATTACTGATCGAGCTAAACTAAAGTGGGGTTTAGGATACAGATATTTCCGGATTCTTATTACTCATCCACACTGTGACGATCATGTGACAGAGTCTCTCTCTTCCAGCCGGTAGAGATGAAAACATCAGCCCAGCTGGCGAGAGAGTGGGGACTTGAGGATGTTGATCACACATTCACAGAAGAAGATTACCGCACGTTAACCAACTACAAAGCCTTCAGCCAGTTCCTCAGGTACTGACTTTTACTAGAAGTTTGACACGTTGTTGTTCCTTTGCATCATATTTATGCCAATACTATCTCATTAATTCCTGAGTTGGTTGATTACACGAAGAATGGCAAGCATTTTTGTAATAAAAGATTTCTCGAATGTTGTAAAAATATGTAAATGAGACATTCTTTCATTAAATATGCACTAATTTACATACATTTGTGGCACCAAAACATTCGACAAAGTCAGAGTAAATTATTTTTTTTAATCAATAGAGTCAAAAGATTTTCCCAGAGATGGGTTGCGGCTGGAAGGGCATCCGCTGCGTAAAAACGTGCTTTATAAGTTGGCGGTTGATTCCGCTGTGGCGACCCCGAATTAATAAAGGGACTAAGCCAATAAGAAAATGAATGAATGAATGAGAGTCAAAAGATTTTACAGAGGGAATTTTGGGAATCACTGCATAATTTAGATAATACTGCAAACATCCAGAAAAAATTTGAGGAACAAAATGTAATATATAAGCAAAGCAAATTAAGTATGAATGATCATACCCCTCAGTTGAATCCATAAAAATGTATATGAATTAAAAGTCCTGCCAAATTAAAGATTTATAACTTAAGAAAATAACACATTTTGAAGGAATGGCCTTTTTATTTATGTAGTGTCATTAAAATCTGCAGACCAAAATTGATTAAATTGATTGCTTGTGTGTTTTGGATGTAAGTAAACATATTGTTTTCTGCAGGCCCATGATTGCTAAGAAGAACCCTAAAATCCCCATGTCCAAGATGATGACCATTCTTGGGGCCAAATGGCGGGAGTTCAGCTCCAATAATCCATTCAAGGGTTCGGCAGCAGCCGTCGCTGCAGCTGCTGCCGCTGCGGCTGCAGCCGTTGCCGAGCAGGTCTCCGCAGCAACAGCCTCGCCCGAACCTCCACCTCAACCACCTCCACTACGCAAGGCCAAGACCAAAGAGGGCAAAGGTGGCCAGATTTATTAGTCGCTTTTTTATATAAATACAAAGCTTGTTAGCAATTGAATCTAGAGAATTGAATTGAAATGAATTGCATATAACTGAATTGGGAAAATTACCTAGCGAATGTCATCATGCTTTCCTCATGCTTTTCCTCAATGTGCTATTAAATTAAACACATTTAGGTCATTCACAATAATAATTAGGATTTTTAGCTCAAACTGTGGTACTTGGTGATTCAAATATAAGTCAAAAGTTTCTGGCTCTTGAACTGTAATATAAAAAACACATACAGGCAGGTATTGTAACTATATATATATATATATATATATATATATATATATATATATATATATACATATATATATATAAATTTTAATTAACTAATTAATTTATTTTTTGACTGGTTGGTAGCCTTTGACTTTTAGGAATTAAAAATGAACATGGCTTCAGCTAAAATGTCTTTAATTAAGAAAAAAGTCACCTTCATTTTTTACATTTATTTTCACTAATTTAAATGAAGACAAAATTTGTAAACATAACAGCCCAAAATCTCAAAACGTTAGAATGAGTGCCAATTAATTACTATTACACATAATGTAATTTTAAGCAATTTTTAAAATATTTGTTTTGTTTATTAAAATGTTCTGACATCTGAAATATCTTCTAGCATTTAAAAATGATGCATGATTATTTTTATTAATCTAGACAGAATACTTATATTAGAATACCAACATTGACAATTTATTGTTTATTGACAGGCCCTGGCTACAAGAAACGAAGTAAGAGCCCTCGTGTCTCCGACAAGAAGAAGCCAAAACCCAAGAAAATGGCTCCCCTGCGCATTAAACTGGGAGCGATTGGTAACAAGAGGAAGAAGAGCAGTTCAGTGAGTGCCTGTGTATTACCCACTTGCACAATAATGTGTGTTGCGTGCATTGTGTTTGATCGTGTATGTGTGTGTGGTTGAAATGCAGAGTGAGGAGGTGGATGAGGACGACTCTGAGCAGGAAAACTCCAGCGTTCACAGTTCATCAGTCCGCTCTGACAGCTCAGGACGGGTCAAAAAGAATAAAAGGGGTCGCCCCGCCAAGAAGAAGAAAAAGGGTGAGAATTAGCTTGTTGCTATTATCACTGTAGGTCCGTCTAAACTCCTGATATATGGGTTTTTGAGTGCACAGACACAAAGTGTATTAAACAATTCTCTTTTACATCAAATGCAAAAATTATTGATGTGATAGAGGTTTTTGTTCATTGCCAGAGAATTTAGGAAGATAATAATTACACTAGGTGGTTTAAATGATTTTATTGGTTAAAACAGTAGTAGACATTATGCATCAGAGGGGTAAAGTTAATGTTGTATCTCTCTCCATATCTTTCTGTCTCAGCGCTGGGCGATGAGGATGGTGATGGCTATGAGACTGACCATCAGGATTACTGCGAGGTGTGTCAGCAGGGAGGAGAGATCATTCTGTGTGATACCTGTCCCAGAGCTTATCACCTGGTGTGCCTTGAACCTGAGCTGGAGAAAGCACCTGAGGGCAAGTGGAGCTGCCCTCACTGCGTGAGTCACTTCCACTCAAACCTTCAGAATCACAGATTGATTTCAAAGTGGTCCTGTCACCTTTAATGTAATGGTTATTATAATGGTTTGTCATTGTAAAATGTCTGTGGAGCTTCAGAGATCAAAGCAAACTTGGAGTTATGTTCTCCCATAAGAAAAAACTGATTGTGGACTTAAATGAGTAATCTTTAGGCCTTATCAACTATCCACAAACAGCATCGCCAAACGCTGTGGTGTAGCTCAGTGTTGGAGGAGTTTGATTTTTAGCGTGTCAATAGACATGTTTTTTGTTCTGTGAATCAAATCCACTTTGCATGCATCAGGGGGGCAGACTCTTTTGGTAAGTTTTTCAGTGTATCCAATTTATTTATTTAAATGACATCAAATTTATGAATAAGTCATATTTAAGTTTTCAGTGTTTTGTGGGATATTTAAAGTATTTTGGCACACAGTAACCTCTGATTATTTCTGGTTACTGTAGCTCAAACTATTCAAACTATGCGTCTAATTTTACTTTACTTTTAGTAAATACAAGCAAGAAATAGTGTCTCGTGACCACTTGTGTTAGCCATCGCTGCTCTAGATCTGCTGGTTTAGACTGTTGAATGATTCTTGCAAAGACTGATTGGCGCAATTATGCATGAACCCCTATAATTGTATTTTAACATAATATTGGTATTTCAGTGTTTTCTCTTAGATTTTTTCAAGCTGTGGCGGCAGGCCTTTTTTACACAGATCTACCTATGGTGTTATTTCAATGACAAATGTTGTGAGCGCGGTATTAAGTCGAGATCGCTTTGCTTGGGCTCAGATTTCCTCTGCCTGTGCACAAAACTTCTTGCACGCTCCCTCAAATATATGCTGCTCAAGCGCAGATCTTCTTGTGCGCTTTCAAATAAACGCTGAAGTGCGATTTAGGTCCACAACCGTGATCGTTTGACGTATGGTACGTTTAGCTAGTGTGAACGTTGTCTCCTAAACTCAGATGTGCACCCGTAAACCGTACTCAAGTCCACCTGAAGGGGTGGTCTGGGGTACGGTTTGTGGGAACTCTAGTACAGTTCACTTCTGATATGAATGCAATCCTACCAAATAATAGAAGTGAACCGCCAACTGTACAACAAACTTTAGTTTTCATGTCTGTATCACCTACCTTGGTGACAAGCGGGACTGAACTAGTGCAAATCGTTATGATGTCTGCTTGTCTCCTCTAAAAACGACTTATAAAGACAATGTGTGATGTTCTTAACATTCTTTATCCTTTTGCGAATTTTACATTTTTTTTTATTTAAATTTTTATTTTTTTATTTGATTTTTTAAAGATATAATTGTAATACTTTTGCATATTTTGGTTTTAATAACTGGGGTGGGGTTGACAGACCATGCATTCGGACCAAGTGTGAAAGCACCCTTAGAGAGAATAGATCTTTAAATGAACCATTTTAGACACTGTGTGAAAAGAGGTGATTTTGCAGTATATATTATAAGAAAAATAACTCTTTGATGCATACAATCACACGGGTGTGATCAGTCTTGGCTGGTCTCTGGAGCTGCGATCACACTGCTATGTTTAGAACTGTCAGTACATCAGCTGCTAAATACAAATCTGCTTTCCCATGAGGACTCACACTGAGCCAGAGAAAAGATGTGCATGACGCTAGTCAAATCACAATTTATCAGTGTTAGTTTATTTTAGGTTTTAGACATCTTAATACACATAAGTACCATAGCAAAACATAACATTTTTATTCACATCAGATTCACAAAGTTTGGGTTTACCCTATTCTTCTCCTAGTTAAACAGTCACTTGCATGACTTGCTCCTCTACAGGTCAAGCAAATATGGCGGACCCTCACCCATCACAGATCAAATAATATGACATTATTAAGCTGTTTAAATGATGAAATAAAACACCAACATTAAATTAAAAAAAGATACTGGCCTTAAAAAAGATAATGCTTCCCCCACATTTTTTATATGAGGAGGTCATCAAAAAGCAGGTCATCTTTGTTTAGGATCTTCATATTGAGCTGTTCTAGATTCTGGGTAATGACAGTGTGTATTTTCAGGAGAAAGAAGGGATCCAGTGGGAAGCAAAAGAAGAAGACTTTGAGGAATTTGAAGAGGAGTGTGACGATGTGCGGGATGTGGAGTCAGGGCTTGGTGGAGAGGAAGAGGAGGATGACCACATGGAGTTCTGTCGAGTTTGTAAAGACGGAGGAGAGCTGTTGTGTTGTGACTCCTGTCCGTCATCTTATCACATTCACTGCCTGAATCCTCCACTGCCCGAAATCCCCAATGGAGAATGGCTCTGTCCACGCTGCACTGTGAGTAATGCTCTGCCACTATACAGCTATTTCTCCTCTCACAGTTCATTCAAGATGTGCGTGACTTGTTCTTCAGTCGAACATTAAAGAAGACCTTTAGCTGAAAATGTGGTCCTTTGGTAAATCTTAAAATACAAGTCTTGTAAAGCAAATCGATTATTTATTATTACCTTTCATCCACAGCCTTTGCAAATGATCCTAAACACATTCATGAGGGCTCTTTCATGGACTGACATATATTAAAAGTCAGGAATTGTTAAAAGTCAATCTTCCCTGTTGAGATGCACAGAAATGTTATCTTAGAGCTTGTTTAAAAACACGAGAGGCAATGATTTGAAATGTTTGAATGAAAAAGCACAACACAAAGCATGAGGGTATCCACACACAAGCACCTGGCCTGTAAATAGAAGCTTGTAATATTTGCTCTGCGTCTGAGCTCTTCTGATTGGTCCATTGCTATGGAACTGACAGTGATGAGCTCACTGCATGTGAAAGTTGATGATCTTTTATCCTAACATGCTATCTAAAAAACACGACACTCACGAGAAACATGAGACAAAAGAGTAACAGTCACACACATCTGTCAATCTGTCAATTGAAAAACAATAGAAAAGTAGTGCATTAGAGAGGAAAAAAAACACGTTCTGTGTTAACGGCCCCTCTGCTATGTAATAGTAATGTAACTGCACAAGTAAGTACCGTTATGATGCAAATCGAACATTTTTATAATAAATGTTTGCATGAACTATCCTTTTTATTGTATTTAAAGTCCTGTGTTTTACAATACTTTCCTCATTGATGTTTGCTGGCAGTTTATGTCGTTTGTTTTTTTACTCAAGTCTCATGACAACTAGGGATGCTCCAATCGATCGGCCAGAGATTGGAATGGCTGATAATCACATTTCATGACTCGATCTGTACTAGCTAATCTGGCCGATCTCATGAACAGATCACAATTGTTTGTATACAAGTTTACAAGCAGAGGACATACTGTATAAAAACTGAAATCTTTTTACATATCAGAACTGAATGTCAGAACAGAATGACATATCAGAACAGAATGACATAATTAAAACAGAATGACATATCAAAACAGAACAGAACTGTGTTTTCAACAATACTGCAAGTTCATTAAAACTTGGCTGGAAATATTACAACCCAAGCTCATTCTGAAAATGTACCAATGCCAATTTACGTGGCCGGAGGTACGTATGGCCGCATTTGGTTTTTCAAGCAAACGCTGCGGGGTGGTGTGACGCCGCTCCTCTTCGCGCTAGCCGGCTGGGCTGACGGCTCCTCCGTGTGGAGGGCTTTGCCGCCGCAACCAATTTGTCCGGGTAGCTCGTTGTGTTACGTCAGTGGAGCGGAGGCCTGGAGGAGGAGCCAGCAGCGTTCGAGACCGGGTTTGAGTCCGGGGAAGAGCGGTTCCAGAAATCAGGTAAGACAAAAAACTGAATCCAAAAAATAAAGTGAACGAGTTCGTAACAAGGAGAGAATGCGGTGAAATCTGAAAACCCTGTCAAAATCAGACGAGGGCTTTTCTTTTTCCACACGGCTTTCATAAATCGTCACTTGAGTTTTAGGAAGAAGGAGGAGGAGGGCGGCCGGGCCCAGTCAATTGGCCAGCCGCCCAGTCAATCGTTCAGTTTTTCAGCCAGTCGGTCAATCGGACAGACAGTCGCTCGACAGCGGCCTCTGTCGGCTTTTTACGCGAGAACAGCCATTCTCACGCTCGTGAGAGGTGTTCAAGATGCGAAAACAAAAACTGCCAAACACATACCTATGTGTCACGTATTTCACGGTCTCCAGAAACGTCTACAGGGATACATTTCCAGAATGAGCTTGGGTTAAATATATTTTCAACTTGAATATTTAATAATATAATATAACTTATAGTAATATACTTATTGCAATAAACGGTAGTTTATGGACCTATTTCCTTTTGGTAAAGAAGTAATCAAATATGCACTCTAAACTTCATTGAGACATGTTAAATTCTTCTTTTATTTGCAGTGTTCACAAATTGCTTTATTAGTGATTTTTCTTGCCAATTTTTTGTATCTGTTTTATGTATTAATCTGACCATTGCATGTCCACACTAAAATGGTTATAAGAGATGTTTAAGGAGTTATATTCAACATCTTTAATTAATTCTCTTAGGTAAGATCTCCACTCAGGTATTATACTTGTAGGGGAAATGTGCTTTATGCATTATAAAGCAAAGCAGCTTAAAGTATCTGAATCAGTACTTGGTATCAGTCAATCACCATGACAGGGAATTGGTACTCGCTATCGGCTGCAAAAATCCTGATCAGAGCATCCCTAATGACAACTTTGGATTTTAAATCAGGATAATAGAAACAAACTATTTCAGTATTTTAGTAAAATAATGATGTTATTTCACCAAAGAATCACAACTGACACCTAACAACTTAGCCTACTGTGAATTTGGACATACTTTTCAGCTTACATGCAATTTTTTTACCGTCAATGTAGTCAACTGTTTTATTTATTTATACAATGTACAATGACACATGTTGTGCCAGAGTTAGTTTTTAAAGCTAAATGTATAAAATGAACAATAGTTTTATAGATACTGTATATGAGAATAATGTCATGTAGCATATATAATTGAAGACAACCAACCCTGTGAAAATTTGATTTTTCTTTAAATATTTCCCAAGTGATGTTAAACAAAGCAAGGAAATATGTCACAGTATTCCCTAGTATATTTTTCTTCTGGAGAAATTATTATTTCTTTTAGTTTGGCTGAAAAAAATATTTTTTAAAAATGTAAAAACTGCTAAGGTTAATATTAGCCACTGTACACTGTTTTCCAATGACTTGCCTAATTACCCTAACTTGCTTAGTTAACATAATTAGCCTCGGTAAGCCTTTCAATGGCACATTTAAGCTCAATACTACTATCTTGCAGAATAATTAGCAAAATATTATGTACTGTCATTTTGGCAAAGGCAAAAGAAATAAGTCATTAGAAATTGTTTACTAAAATGATTATGTTTGAAAAAGAATCAAAATACAGTCTGCAAGTTCTGGCGGTTCATTCCGCTGTGGCGACCCCTGATCAATAAAGGGACTAAGCCTAAAAGAAAATGAAAAGAAGGAAGTTCTGTTGTTTGTTTTTCAGTGTCCACCAATCAAAGGACGAGTGCAAAAAATCCTGCACTGGCGATGGGGTGAACCTCCACCCCCAGTTCCCGTCCCTCCACCTCCAGACGCACCTCCTGATGCCCCGCCCCCTCCACCCATGAAGGGTCGTCCTGAGCGGGAATTCTTTGTGAAGCTGACGGCACAGTCCTACTGGCACTGCACCTGGATTACTGAGCTACAGGTGCGAGAGTAAGACACCAGTGAGACAGGTGTAACTCTTACAGCATGTGCAGACTTTTCTCTCATCCATCTGTGCTTCCTCAGCTCGAGATCTTCCATTCGGTGATGTTCCGCAACTATCAGAGGAAAACGGACATGGATGAGCCGCCCAGCCTTGACTACGGCTCTGGGGGAGAGGAGGATTCTGGGAAGAGTGAGAAGCGGAGGGCTAAAGACCCCCAATACGCCATTCTAGAGGAGAAGTACTACCGTTATGGAATAAAGCCAGAGTGGATGATGGTGCACAGGATAATCAATCACAGGTGTGTGTTTTTTGTGTAGTTTTCCAGAAAATATTGACGACAAGGCTTTTGTCAGGTGGTGTAGACTTCTTCTCATCATCCTAATCAATCAAGCTTTAAGTGACATGCAAGCTCTCAGTTCACTGTCGTTGTTAATCTTTGTACTCTTCATTAACATTAGAAATTTTTTATAAAGTCATACAAGTTAAAAAGTCTTGTAATAACCCCCAGTAACACTCCAGGGTTTTCACAATGAGTATATGATTGAGTGCTCTGTAAAGGGTTAACAAATTCAACTTGAATAGGTCTTAAACACAAAGCCTATTGAAAACACTATTAGTGTTTGTATACTTTCTTAATAAAGAGTTTACGAGACACTAGCTATGTTTCCATCCACCTATTTTTATACTCATTTTGGATATGCACATAAAAAAATGGTAGATGGAAACATACGCATATATTTTGAAAATGTGCATAAATAACTGTGTAGGATAAACTTTATTCGATAAGATGCGCATAAACTACGATGGAAACACTTACAGAACAAATTCAAGTCTGTGTATTAAAAAAGGTAATTTGACTTTGTTATAGGAGATCGCGTGATGATAAAAATGTGTGTGAATGGACAAACCAGCAGGCTGAGCTCACTGAAACATCTGAAATGGTGTTTTGGTCTAAATTCTAAAACACCTTAACTGTTTAAGTATTAGTTTTATTATATTATTAATGACCTCCAGAATTAAGAGCGTCTGTGCTCCGCGTCTCACGCCTTTAAACGCCACCAACCATTCACTACGTGTAAGGATTGCCTTTTGAGGCGCAAGTCATTTAGTAAATAAAGAAAAGATTCACGCAGCTTCTCCTGCAGCAAATTCTGTTTTTACTGTTGATATTTGGCGCCAGTTAATCAGGAAGTGACGATTTTGTTCTCTTTGACTCGTTGAATGGAAACGCTGCTTTATTTGCATGTCTCCTATACGATAATCCAGTTTTGCTCATAAAGTAAACTCGCATTTTTGGATGTAAACATAGCTAATGTCAAACTGAACCTAACTGCAACACACTGGGTGTAATTAGAATAGCTTATTATGTGAACGTCAGCAAAAACAAATGGAAATACAGTTAATTTTTCTGTATGGCTTTTGTAATTTGTTGTAAGTTGTTGTAATGACTTGAGCTGTGTCACGAATATCATACCTCTTCATTTCCTAGTTTTTTCTGACGATGAAAGAAAGTGTTAACAAAACTTTTTCACTAAGCACTCACACATTTGATCTAACGCCTCTGATTGGCTACAACAATCATAAGCTGAACAGAAATGTGTGTGATTGGTTACAATGCATAGTGCTGCAAAGAACCATAAAAAGATGAAGGAATCTGAAGAAACTTGTGCAGACCTAAATGTAGTGCTGTACTTTTTATTTACTGTACATCTGGCTTCGAATGTGACAGCCTTTTTGTCCTATTTCTTGAATTTGTAGGCAATTTTTGTTGACTTTTACTATACACACTCTCATGTCTCTCTGTCATTCAGTGTCAATCAAAGTGTGTTCGTGTTGGTGATGGTAATTGCATTACATAAGTCACAGCATGTTTCAGATAATAAATTATGATTTATATTTAGAAAATACAGTACTTGCACTGTATGTGTGTGTATGTGTGTTTGGATTTGCTTGTTATCACAATATGGAGACCAAATGTCCCAACAAGTATACTAATACCAGTAATTTTTGACCTTGTGGGGACATTTTTTTTTTGTCCATATGAGGAAAACAACTCATAATTATACAGAATGAATAACGATTTTATATGAAAATATAAAACCGCAGCATGCTTTTTGTGAGGGTTGGGTTTAGGGTAAGGGGACGGAAAATACAGCCTGTACAGTATCTGTATAAATCATTCTGTCTATGGTATACAACATGGAAATCCAACATGTGTGTGTGTGTGTGTGTGTGTGTGTGTGTGTGTGTGTGTGTGTGTGTGTGTGTGTGTGTAGTGTGGATAAGAAAGGCAACTACCACTATCTGGTTAAATGGAGAGACCTGACCTATGACCAGTGCACCTGGGAGAGAGATGAGCTGGACATCCCTGAGTTTGCTCTGCACAAAACGGCATACTGGAGACACAGGTGCAGTCACACACTGTCACATGAGTTTTATTTCTGAGGTAATAGAAACCACCTGCAATTAAAATCATGTCATTTAATCATGTTTTTCTAACCTGTATTTATTTAAACCTGTTTTAATGCCAAAAAAAGAGACTTCGAGTAGAATTATACAAGGTTCCTATGGGTGCTGGAAATCATTAAAAATGTTTGTATTTTAATTTTCAACGTTTGAAAAGTGCTTAGAACTTGTTTAAAGTATGTGAAACTGCTTGAAAATGTAGTTGTGTTGTTTTTAGGACATTTTCTTATTAAATAGGCAATCAACTTTGCAAATAAAATAATTAAAAATAAAATTAATTAGCATAAAACAAAAACTCTTCCAGTCTGTGCACTTGCCTGTAGTCTGATTTGCCTGTCCTTTTATCAGTGCAACAGTTAATGAGGGAACAATCCATGAAAATAAAATAAAGATATAAATTTAAAATGAAACATGATATCTTTAAAATATGAGTAATTTGCATTTAGGAGTGTAAGTGATGCTAATTTAATGTTTGGCTTGAGGCAAACATGCCTTAGAATACTAGAACAAATACCTCCTGATATAATGTGAGGAGGTATAAAAAAAGTATATACACTCACTAGCCACTTTAATAGGTACACATGTCCAAATGCTTGTTAATGCAAATTTATCATCAGCCAATCACTTGGCAGCAACTCAATGCACTTAGGGATGTAAACATGGTCAAGATGGTCTGCTGCAGTTCAAACCGAGCATCAGAATGAGGAAGAAAGGTGATTTAAGTGACTTTGAATATGGGAAGGTTGTTGGTTCCAGACATGCTGGTCTGACTATTTCATCTACTGGGATTTTCATGCACAACCATCTCTAGGGTTTACAGAGAATGGTCCGAAAAAAAGAGAAAATATTTATTGAGTGGCAGTTCTGTGGGCGCAAATGCCTTGTTGACGCCAGAGGTCAGAGGAGAATGGCCAGTCTGATTCAAGCTCAAATAACCACTCGTTACAACTGAAGTATGCAGAAGAGCATCTCTAAATGCACAAGACACCCAACCTTGAGGCGGATGGGCTACAGCGGCAAAAGACCACACCGTGTGCCACTCCTGTCAGCTAAGAACAGGAAACTGATGCTACTATTTGCACAGGCCCAACAAAATTGGAAAATAGAAGATTGGCTAAACGTTTCCTAGTCTGATGAGTGTCTGTTTCTGCTGTGACAATTGGATGGTAGGGTCAGAATTTGGCATTAACAACATGATCCATCCTGCCTTGTATCGACGGTTTAGGTTGATAGTGGTGGTCTAATTTTTTGGGGGATATTTTCTTGGAACATTTTGGACCCATTAGTACCAATTGAGCATTGTGTCAACGCCACAGCCTACTTGAGTATTGTTGCTGACCATGTCCATCCCTTTATGACCACAGTGTACCCATCTTCTGATGGCTACTTCCAGCAAGATATTGTACCATGTCATAAAGCACGATTCATCTCAGACTTGTTTCTTAAACATGACAATGAGTTCACTGTACTCAAATGGCCTCCACAGTCACCAGACTTCAATCCAATAGAGCACCTTTGAGATGTGGTGGAAGGGGAAATTCACATCATGGATGTGCAGCCGACAAATCTGCAGCAACTGCGGAGTGCTATCATGTCAATGTGGACCAAAATCTGTGAGGAATATTTTCAATACCTTATTTAATCTTTGCGACGAATGATTAAGGCAGTTCTGAAGGCAAAAGGAGGTCCAATCCGGTACTGGTAAGGTGTACCTAATTAATTGGCCAGTGAGTGTATATATCTATATGCAATTTGGCACACTAAAGTGCCAAAGTAAAGTGCTTGAAAAGTTTGAAAATGCTCCCTTGGAAATGCTTAAATCTGAGTCGGAAATGGTGTAAGAACAGAGTAATTAATATTGATGATACACCAAGTCCTTATTCAATGTACTACATCAGTGTTGTGCCTCTTTTGGATGCTTTTCTTGTGTTTTTCTTGCGTTATATTCTGAATGACGGAATAATCAATGTTCTGTTTTTCAGGGAGGCAGTAATGAAGGAAGATCCAGAGAAGCCTAGGAAGATGAGGAGGAGAGAGGAGAACGATGAAGCTCCAAGCACGCCTGTTAATGATGTGCGTGGCTGTCATTTCTGCCTAGCATGCCATTTGGTGAACTCTAGTAGCACCTAGTCAGAATGGTTTTCCACTTTCTTTTAGCAGATGGAACATAATTTAGCAAATGCTTGAACATAAGTATAAGGCTATTTTTAGCAACCCATTCCTCAGTGTCTCATGATCCTTCAGAAACCATTCTAATATGGTGATTAGAATTAATTATTACTTATTATCATCACTGTTAAAAGTAGTTGAGCTGATTATAACGACTATACTTCTTCCACCAGCCCACGATCAAGTATGAGGAGCAGCCAGAGTTTGTGACGGAGACAGGAGGAACGCTGCACCTCTACCAGCTGGAAGGCCTGAACTGGCTGCGCTTCTCCTGGGCTCAGGGCACAGACACCATCCTGGCTGATGAAATGGGTCTGGGCAAAACCATCCAGACCATTGTATTCCTCTACTCCCTGTTTAAAGAGGTCTGTATTAGGACAGGTTAAAAACGTGTATGTTAAAACACTCCTATTATGCTATTTATTGGTTCCAAATTTTGCTTTGGAAGTGTACAATAGCCAGAAAGTCAGAAACACTTTACATTCTTGTAATACACATTACAGCATTATTTTAAATATATTTATTTATTAATCAGAATCCATTTTTTTTAACTGCTTCTTTCCAAAAGCCTACATTCGCTGGTTGAACAGATGGCTCAGTCTGTTGTGATTGGTCTACTGCTAACAGTATGTAATGCAAACCAAATGCCGATCACAAAAACAAGAAAGCATTGACAACGGTACCAGTTTTATTGTATAAATTCAAACCCAATTCCTTATTCACTGAAAACATATCAGATGAATTGCTTTCAGACGACGCAGTGATGCAGTAGGTAGTGTTGTCGCCTCACAGCAAGAAGGTCGCTGGTTCGAGCCTCGGCTGGATCAGTTGGCGTTTCTGCTTGGAGTTGGCATGTTCTCCTTGCGTTCGCATGGGTTTCCTCCGGGTGCTCCGGTTTCCCCCACAATCCAAAGTGCAGGTGAATTGAGTAGGCTAAATTGTCCGTAGAGTATGAGTGTGTGTGGGAATGAGTGTGTGTGGATGTTTCCCAGAGATGGGTTGCAGCTGGAAGGCCATCCACTGCGTAAAAACGTGCTGGATAAGTTGGCGGTTCATTCCACTGTGGCGACCCCAGATTAATAAAGGGCCTAAGCCGAAAAGAAAATGAATGAATGAATGAATTGCTTTCAAAGCACAGAAAACACCAACTTCTTAAAATGTCGAAAGCGCAAATCAAACTCTCCCAAGCCTCAAACTACAGCGTTTGCGAACTAAAGTTTATGTACAGCAGATAAATACCATAAGCTGCCATCTACATTCCAACACTGACTTGTTAAGAATATGTGCCCAGAGCTACATTTTTGAAAACTGAGAAGTGCAGTTTTATAAACTAATTTCGAGAAGAGCTTAAGCAGATCATTGTAAAGGTCAATTCATCATTGACAGTCATATAATTATCCAATCCAACTAAAACAAGCCCCTATAAATAATCAGGTACGTCCTACCTTGTTATCTCTCTGGATCTTCAGCATCTTTCCACCACCCCATCTCCACACTTTCAAATTAATTTACTTAGGGGGAGTGCTCTGAGATTCTATACACTGCACTCATACCCCTCTTAATATCTCTCTTACAAGGGGAATAACACAAGTGTCTTTCTGAGCTCAGAACCCTTTAACTGGACAGCACAGCAAATACGCCTAAAGTATTATGTCAACTATCTGTAAGTGCGAAATCTTGAAATATGTGATCGTGGGTACAAATAGCAACATAGGCTCATTCTGAAAACGTAGCCCTATATACGTTTCTGGAGACCCCGAATTAGTTATGTTTGTTATTTTTTAAACAAATGCTACGGAGCGGTATGACGACATTCCTTTTCATGCTTACCAGCTGACCGCTGCAAGTATGAACAGCCTTCCCGCTGTGACCAGTTTGTCCTGTTAGCTTGCCATGTACGTCGGCGAACTTGAAACGCAGAGAGGAGTTGACCATGGGGACAGGGTTCGAGTGCGGTGAAGAACAGTTCCAGAAAGCAGGGATGACAAAAACAGAATCCAAAAAAATAAAATAAACAAGTAAATAACAGGGTGAGCATGTGGTAAAATCTGAAAATGTGGTAAAAATCAGACGAGGGCTTTTCTTTTTCTGGATTGCTTTTGGAAATTGTTAGTTGGGTTTAGGGAAGTGGGTGGGCGGGTCAATCGATAAAATTGGTTGGGTTTAGGGTAGGAGGGTGGGTCAGTCCAGTTAAAGTCAGTCAGCAGCGCCCTCTTTTGTGTAAAATGAATGTGTCCTATCATAGTAACAGCACATGGTCACGATAGCTTTTCGTTTCTAGTTTATTTTTTTTAGTTGGATTTAGGGAAGGAGGCTGGTGGGTCAGTCGATTTCAAGCTGATATACACGACGACAAGCCAAACAGATGCGCGCAAGAAGGCAGTTGTGGTGAGAAGGAAACAACGTCTGGTGAATTTATGAAAAATTGCATGTATGAGAAAGCGTGCCATAGTAACGTATTTGAGCTTGTAAAAAATGTACATAATGCCCTCTAGTAGATTTGTTAAAACAAAGACTGCAAGAAGACATAGCCCTGGGTACATGCTTGTCAGTTCTCAAAAATGTAGTCCTAAGCACATATTTTCAATGAGCTTTGGTTTGGCAAGGCAACCTATACAGATTTGTGCAGAAATTAAAGCTAAAACTAATTTAGACATTTCAGATTTAACTGCCTTTAGCATGTTATTATAAAATCGAGTGTTATTACACACATGAAAAGCATAATTGGGGCATTTTAAATGACAAGTGAAGTTCCTCTCTTCCATCCTGTGTTCCTTTGTCATTCTTTCTGTATCTCTCGGTCCATTTCTCTGTCCAGGGTCACACTAAAGGGCCGTTCCTGGTGAGCGCACCGCTGTCCACAATCATTAACTGGGAGAGAGAGTTTGAGATGTGGGCTCCTGACTTCTATGTTGTCACTTACACCGGAGACAAGGACAGCCGGGCCATCATCCGCGAAAACGAGTTCACTTTTGATGACACGGCTGTAAAGGGAGGAAAGAAAGCCTTCAAATTACGGGTGAGGAGGAGTGGATATATTACTGCTGATTAGAAAGATGAAATTAAAAAAATTGACAGAATGAGGAGGAAAATTCAATAAAGTAACAATAAACAATACCACATAGAGAAGTTTTGAATTGTGTTATTTGGTTTTGTAAAATTAAACATAGTAACCGTTCTGTTTTATTTTCTAGAGAGAAGCACCTATTAAGTTCCATGTTTTACTGACGTCATACGAGCTTGTGACCATAGACCAGAACGTTCTTAAGTCCATTGACTGGGCCTGTCTTGTAGTGGATGAAGCTCACCGCCTCAAAAACAACCAGTCTAAGGTACACTGATTTTGTGCTTTTTTCTTGCTTTCTGTCCCGTGTGTATTCAGTTTGATTGAAAATACACAAATAAAAAAAGTAATAATGTCAAATATTAGAATTTAATATAGCTGCTTTATATTGTAATGTGTTTAAATGTAAAGGTGGCAATTTAACAGCCATTTACTCCAGACTCCAGACTATGCATATTTGGTGTTGAACAAACATTTCTGTTATCAATGCTATCAATGTTTGCTAGAGTTGTGCTACTTAATATTGTTTTGCGGAAACAGTTATACATTTTGTCAGGATTTTTTGATGAAAATTTCATAAATTAATGAAAAATGTATTTTTAATTTTTCTTTCAGGTGACTTTTAATCAATTTAAAGAGTCCTTTTAGAAAATTTGTAGTAATTACTTTCAGTACTAAATATCTTTCTAAACCCAAATGTTGTACAGTATTCAACATTTGAAGTGGATCAAATAAGGTTTTTCAGTATGGTCCTAAAACAGGAATAGGTGTTGTTGAATAGTTTTAGGACAAATTTGATGGAGATGTTTCACAATCAGATGATTGACTTCAGTATACTGGGAATAATCTCAGCATACACTGTAAAAAAGACCAACTGGGTTCCACACAGTTCCTTTATGTTGTCCAAACACAAATTGATTAAGTTAACCCAATAGTTTTTACAAATTTAAGTAAATTGAACATAACACATGATCTTTAAGTCTATTCAAATATGGAGACTTGGTGTTGAACAAACTTTCCGTAATGTTATTAATGTTTGCTAGAGTTGTGCTGCTGAATATTTTTTTGTGAAAACTGTAATATATTTTGTCAGGATTCTTTGATGAAAATTAAATGAATGAGTGTCATTTTTCTTTCAAGTGACTCTTAATTACTTTATAGAGTCCTTTCTACAAAATTGTTGTAATTACTTTCAGTACTAAAACTCTTTCCAACCTCAAATGTTTCAATTGTTATGCTGTATGTTAACTAAGGATAATCAAAATCTATGCATACACTGTAAAAAATGCTGGGTTCCACACAATCCCTTCATGTTATCCCAACACAAATTAATTTTAACTTAATCGTTTTTACAAATTTAAATGGATTAACCATCAAACAATTATGTTGTTTCCCAAAAAAAAAACATAAAAATTGTGTTATTTCAATTTTAAATAAGTAGTTTAAACAAACAGCAAAAGACTATAGAGATTGCCTTACAAAAACAAATTGCTCAATAAATCTACTATTATACACCTTTTGCAAAAAGATGCATGATGTTTTATTATTGGCAAGTTATGCTAACCTTGCTATACATACAGTTTTTGTAAAGAACCATGTATAATTTTAGCTGACTGAAATAAAGATTTTGTGTGTTTCATTAACTGATGTCTGTTGTTGTGGTGTGTTAGTTCTTCAGGAGACTGAACGACTATAAGATAGACCATAAGCTGCTGCTAACAGGAACTCCACTCCAGAACAACCTGGAAGAGCTTTTCCACCTGCTTAACTTCCTGACACCCAACCGCTTCAAGTAGGACCCTACACAAAAGCGTGCTTATTTACTCAAAATGACCCAATTTGCATAGTAAAACGTATTATGTTATCTAAATCTATGATATGCCAATTTTAGTGTGGCTGAAGTTATGTAGGCATCACATCAACTGACATGTTGTAATAATTTCACTAATAAATCACTTTGTTTCTGCAATCCCTCAGCAATCTGGAGGGTTTTCTAGAGGAGTTTGCGGACATCTCTAAAGAGGACCAGATCAAGAAACTGCATGACCTGCTCGGCCCTCACATGCTGCGGAGACTCAAAGCTGATGTGTTTAAAAACATGCCAGCAAAAACGGAGCTGATCGTCCGAGTGGAGCTCAGCCCCATGCAGAAGTGAGACCCACAACCTCAATATCCTTAACAAAATGTGTTGACTTCAGACAAAAATAATAACAATACAAACATCATACATACTCTTTGTGTAAACAGAAAATACTACAAGTTCATTCTGACGCGTAACTTCGAGGCGCTGAATTCCAAGGGAGGAGGGAACCAGGTGTCTCTGCTCAACATTATGATGGACCTAAAAAAGTGCTGCAACCACCCCTACCTCTTCCCCGTCGCTGCTGCCGTAAGAGCACACATTAAATTCATGACACCTACTATAAATCATTTCACTTTGAGCTAGATTGGTGCTAAAGTAACTGATGTAGTGTGAAATACTGCCACCTGCTGTTGGAAAACCTGGCTCAAATGCTGTCCAAAGGTTTGTAAAGAAAATGAATAATAGCTGCATTTTGTTTTTTGTGTCCGTGTGTACATATGTATCCTAGGCTGTTATGCTGTGTTTGTGTGCTTTAGGAAGCTCCCAAGACACCGAGTGGAGCGTATGAAGGTGTTGGGCTTACCAAGGCCTCTGGGAAACTCATGCTGCTGCAGAAAATGCTCCGAAAACTGAAAGAACAAGGCCACCGGGTGTTAGTGTTCTCTCAGGTATGAGCACATGGGTAAATACACATTCACACAGCCTGCTCTGTACACGATACTGAAGATGCTTTATTTGCTATTAGGCTCTCAAACGGCAGTATGTTTGGTTCCCCCAGGTGGTGCACAATGTAAAGTATTGATTATTAGACTAAGCATTTGTTTATAAAGGGATAGTCCACCCAAAACTAAAACCTCTGCCATCATTTACACAAAGGAAGATATTTTGAAGAATGTTGAGTGGAAAAGAGTTGGAAAAAACAAAGTTTTTTTCCAACAGTGTTCAGGAAATATTGTGTTTAACAGAAGAATGAAATTCATAATGTGATAAGGGAATCTTAATTTTTAGATGAACAATCCCCATAACTTGTGTTTACCATGTTTTGTTTCTCATTAGCATTCTGTTTAAATAAACATATATTTCTGATCATTGCAGGCTAATGTGGAGCAAATGGCTTGCTAGGTGCTCCTCAGATAGACTTATTTGATTCGTTGAACGACTTGGTCTGAAAGTTTGATTTGTATCATGTAGTTATACTTTTACACTTTGTTTCCTCGTCAGATGACCAAGATGCTGGATTTGCTGGAGGACTTCCTGGATTCTGAGGGTTATAAATATGAGCGGATAGATGGAGGCATCACTGGAGCTCTCCGTCAGGAAGCCATCGACAGATTCAATGGTAAGATACTTTTATTGCAGGTTGCTGGTTCGAGTTCCAGCTGAGTGAGTTGCATTTCTGTGTGGAGTTTGCATGTTCTCCCTGTGTTCATGTGGGTTTCCTCCGGGTGCTCCAGTTTTCCCCGGTTTTCATTTTCGTTTTGGCTTAGTCCTTTTATTAATCAGGGGTTGCTACAGTAGTATGAACCGCCAACTCATCCAATTTTATGCAGCAGATGCCCTTCCAGCTGCAACCCATCACTGGGAAACATCCATACCCTTTCTACATTCACTGAGGAAAATTTAGCTTACCCAATTCACCTATACCACATGTCTTTGGACTTGTGGGGAAACTGGAGCACCCGGAAGAAACCCGGGAACATGCAAACTCCACACAGAAATGCCAACTGACCCAGCCAAGGCTCAAACTAGTGACCCTCTTGCTTTGAGGCGATTTTGCTACCCACTGCGCCACCCTGCTGCCAAAATTGCAAGTATATTTGAACAAAATATTCATTTACGGTTGAACTATCTCTTTAGGCCCACTATTGAAAAATAATGTGGCACAATAACCACCAGTAGGTGTCAGCAAGTCCCTGTCTAATAAGTGAATCTTTGAATTCATTCAATTGGTTCATTATGATTCATAGAACAAAAAGGACAATACAGATGTTTGTTCTGAAGTACGCAAATGCTTTATCAGGAGCTATTTTAATTGACAAAACTGTAGTATTGTGTGTAACATGTAATTAACTCAGTAATTCAAGATGTCCTACAGCATAAATGTTGTATTTGTATGGTTTCATATGTTTTTGTATATTTTTATAAGATATAATGTAAGTAATATAACAGTATAATTTGTACTTTAATATGGCTTTGTCTGTCTAACATGTAAATTCAAATGTCATCAAGCTGTGACCTATTTTTAACACCTTTTGTTTACTGTATATGCTGAAAAGATCTACGTAAAAATGAAAGCTTTTAATAAAACATTTAAGCATTTAACATTTATTAGCATAATAAACATTTATTCTCTTTTCCTCTGAGTCTGTGAGTGGCTTGACTGCATGAAATGTAGTAATACTGTGAACTCAAAAGCCCTGAATTCAGCACACAAAATATTGCATGAAATAAATTATGAAAGCATTTTGACTAAATCAGCTCCTAGCGCTTCTAGAAAGATGCAGTAACACCAAAATCTTGTCTGAATAATGTGATTTGTGTTCACTGGGCTGTAAAGTGTCAGAGTATGAGTAACAGTATGAGTTATGTGAATACAGTAATAAGGATGCTAGAAATTAAAACATACAGTCCTTAAGTTTGTCCTTTAAAAGTCACTCTCTCGATAGATGTTCATTTATACTTTATGGTATGCAAATGGTCTCATTTGAAGCAAGATGTTTAACGTCTGAGCCAGAGGATTGGTTTCAATAGCAATTCAAATGTCACTGCAAAGTCATCTTTTCTCCCCTCACTCTTCCTCTCCTCTCTTCCCAGTCCAAATGGTTGATGATGAATGTGTGTTTTGTGAGTTTTTTTCTTTTGTTTGTAAGACTCGATCCACTCCGCGAGCTGTTGAGTCAGTTGTTTTTCAGATGTTGAGAAAAGCTTGTGCCAAATGCTGAAAGCCTTATCTTAAAATGGCAGTTGATTTATTTTATTGTCGGGTAAGCAAAACCTGCAATTTACAAGGACAAAATAACCCGAGAACAGACACGGTTGGGTTTACAAAATCTGGATCCGTTGTTGAGTTTGATTGTTACAAAGAATGGAAAGACACATAAACATTTGGTTCTATAATTGTAGCTTTTGCATTATGTCTGGTGGGAGAATTTATTTGGATATTTTGCAGCGTCGAGGTCGATGATTGTGCTTTATTGACATTTTAATCATTTGTGTTATTTGTTATGATGACTTTTTGGGTGGCCGAGATGTGGAATCGAATCTTATATCGCACTGTGAGTAACTTCATATCACTGTGCGGAATTTTTAAAATCCAAAACGACAGCAAACTCACGTCTTTTAAGACCCAGTTCTTTCTCATTTTGACAAGTTTGGGATACATTCTGCATTCTTGCATGTCTATTCATCAGTCACATACAACTTCAACCTACTCATTGATAGCCACACAGACGTATTTACACAATGATATTTACAATCTATGCTAAACCATATTAACAACACAGTTAATCACTGTTAGATGAATTTCTCTGTCTGTCTTCCAGCTCCTGGTGCGGTTCAGTTTTGTTTTCTCCTCTCTACGCGAGCGGGTGGTCTGGGCATCAACTTGGCCACTGCGGACACAGTCATCATCTTTGACTCGGACTGGAATCCTCATAATGACATACAGGTAATGCTGGGTTTTCTGATGAAGAGTGCCAGAGGACAAAACACAGTATTTGAATAGCCATTATTTGTTTGTGCTGTTTATTTTGTCACGCATAAACTATTAAAGATGACCATTTACTCCCAATGATCACTATTGTGATCGTGCCTTTATTTCCTCTTGAAAGCTCTAAAAGTATTGTTGTTGTTGTCTTTAGCCAAGAAATTTAACCTTTAAATGAAAATAATAGTTTTGATTAATGGTCTGTTTCCACTGAGTGGTACGGTAAGGGTCGGTACGCTTTTATTCCTGTTTCAACTGTCAAAAGTTACCAAAAAGCGAACTGTACCATGCTACTTTTTAGGCCTGTTTACACTGAGTGGTACAGTATAGCTCGGTACGCTTTTATGACTGTTTCCACTGTCAAACGGTACCAAAAAGCAAACGGTACCATACCATTCTTTGTGTACCCTTTCCAAAGGGTACCTAGCACAACAAAAGGCTACCAAAAGGCAGAGATAGATGCATAGCCAAATGCTATTGGTTTAAAGAGAAACGTCACTAGCACCTGCACAAGCCAGAAGAATAAAAACAAATGAAGCGCCATTTGTAAATACACAGCCAAGACATTACACCGTAATAATATATACATATAATAGCGAGCCATGGTTGACCCGATACAAACCTTGTCGTCGTTTTGATGAACAGCGACAAAACTAAGAAGAAGAGCAGAGTCTGCCATGTGTCCTGTTGTTATTTAAGAGGCCGCTTAAAGCACGAGCGTCTCTCCAGAGAGCTCGTGATCGCTTGCTGCGCGTCTATATTTGAAATAATGAACTTCTTGAGCCGATGATAATAACGTGATTATTGAAGTGCTTCTGACATCTGATCAAAAAACAAACGAGAAGCCTGAAAAAAGGAGCAAATGATTCTTTTTAGCAATCTAAAAGTTTAACAAACTGCTTAATGTTTAATTATTATCCTGGCCTTTTGGACTATTATGAGCACAAAATGACGAAATTACTTATTTTTAACAAGATGTTAACGTTACATTGTGCTGGTTAAGAATAAAGATGCGAGGTTTGTACTGACTGCATGTGTGTTTCATATCGTTTTTGAACCCAAATAGGGCCTAAATGTAAGTTTTAGGGTTTTTATTATTTTTAATTGGAAACATTTTAAGGACTGTAAGTCTCTGTATGTGTGTTCATATTTGTTTTTTTTCTTTGGCTGTGGAGACATAAGCCCGATAAAGGTGACCTATATCATACCATACTGTACAACTCAGTGGAGACAAGGCATTCAATGTCACATGACCAGATCGGTTTACATACTTCCTGCTTGTACATCAAGATAACTAAGAGGTGGAAATTTGTTAAGTCACAATTGTAACTGGTAGTATTAATATGGTTAATAATTGAAATCAGGGCAAAGAAGTGGTGCTGTTGTCTCACAGCAAGAAGGTCGCTGGGTCGCTAGTTCGAGCCTCGGCTCATTTGGCGTTTTCTTTGTGGAGTTTGCATGCTCTCCCTGCGTTCGCATGGGTTTCCTCCGGGTGCTCCGGTTTTCCCCACAGTCCAAAGACATGCAGTACAGGTGAATCGGGTAGGCTAAATTGTCCGTAGTGTATAAGTGTGTGTGTGTGAATGTGTGTGTGGATGTTTCCCAGAGATGGGTTGTGGCATCCGCTACTTAAAAAACTTGCTGGATAAGTTGGCGGTTCATTCCACGGATTAATAAAGGGACTAAGCCAACAAGAAAATGAATGAATGAATGAATAATTAAAATCAGTTGAAAGTGGAAGTGACATGATGTGATTGAAATGTCTATTCTGCATTTAACTCATACAAGTTCACACACATACACCAATGAAATTCTGATTATGCTTTTCCTATACCTGTATATAAAATATACCTATATAGTAAGGCTGCATGATTTTGGAGGCAACGTTTTTCCAATCTTCTATTGTTAAATTTTTAGTGAGCCTGTGCGAATTGTAGCCTCAGTTTCTTGTTCTTAGCTGACAGTAGTGGCACTCGGTGTGGTCTTCTGTTGTTGTAGCCCATCCGCCTCAAGGTTGGACGTGTTGTGTGTTCAGAGATGCTCTTCTGCATGCCTCAATTGTAACGAGTGGTTATTTGAATTATTGTTGCCTTTTTATCAGCTCGGACCAGTCTGGTCATTCTCCTATGACCTCTGGCATCAACAAGGCATTTGCGCCCACAGAACTGCCACTTACAGGATATTTTCTCTTTTTCGAAACATTCTCTGTAAACCCTAGAGATGGTTTTGTGTGAAAATCCCAGTAGATCAGCTATTTCTGAAATACTCAGACCAGCCCGTCTGGCACCAACAACTATGCCACGTTTAAAGTCACCTAACTCACCTTTTTACCCAATTGAGTTGCTGCTATGTGATTGGCTGATTAGAAATTTGCATTAACAAACAGTTGGACAGGTGTACCTAATAAAGTGACCAGTTATAATTTGAATAAAATTTCGCCAGAGGATTTGATAGCTCTATTTGGAAAGATTTCATTCATTTAGATAAACTGAGAATATCAAGTCTTTTTCTATGCAGTGAATCTGCATAAATTATAATTAGTAACAAGCTAAATAAAAACATTGTTTTATATTTTCTGAAGAGTTCAACAGTATTCAACTCCAAAAAATAGAACAATCAAATGTAAAATAGCATGGTCATCTTTGTATTAAAAAAACATATAACATATATATATATATATATATATATATATATATATATATATATATATATATATATATATATATATACACACACACACACACACACACACACACACACACACACAGACACACACACACACACACCCACACCCACACACAAAATATATATTTTATAAAATCTTTATCTTTTCATCTTTAATAAATTATCTTAAATCTGCAATGTGACTATAGCACATTGCGATATCGATGCTCAAATGATATATTGTTTAGCCCTACTATAAAGGTATATAAAAACCTAATTTAACCAAAAGAATATCACAGTAGGCTTTTTGTGTTGAGGAGGTCTAAGGAACTAAATGTATATTTTCAAATTACAATACAAAAATTGGGATTAAATGGGTTAAGATAAAGCAGTATCAAGTGAATTTAGCAGTGAAAATCAGATTGTCTGACACCATGAGTATTGCAACAGACAAAAAAATGTGTAGTTATTTTGTTCATAACTACCAACAAAAAGAACACTGTTTTGTTTCTTTTGTTTTCTTTGTTGTGTTTGCCACCTAGTGGACACTTTGAAAACAGACTTATAAAACACAGTAGAGCAGGGGTGCTCATTCCTGTTCCTGGAGATCTACCTTCCTGCAGATTTCAGTTGCTACCCATATCAAACACACCTGCCTGTAATTATCAAGTGGTGTTCAGGTCCTAATTAATTGGTTTAGGTGTGTTTGATATGGGTAGTAACTGAAATCAAGAGGAAGGTAGATCTCCAGGAACAGGATTGAGCACCCCTGCAGTAGAGTATATGAAGGGAACTCTTGAAAGTTTACATGATTTTGAATTTGATCTCTTTCTCTCAGGCCTTCAGTCGAGCTCACCGCATCGGTCAGGCCAATAAGGTGATGATATACCGCTTTGTGACTCGAGCTTCAGTTGAGGAGCGAATCACGCAGGTGGCCAAAAGAAAGATGATGCTCACACACCTGGTGGTGCGGCCCGGATTGGGCTCAAAAGCAGGATCCATGTCCAAACAAGAGCTGGACGACATCCTCAAGTTTGGCACAGAGGAGCTTTTCAAAGATGAGATTGAGGGTGGGATTGATGATAAATTAATCAATGTTCAAGTTCAAGATTGAATGGACTGAGTTTGCTATACTGAAGGTTCACCAGTGTGTTTCTTTTTTGTTTTCAGCAGGGGACAATAAAGATGATGATATGAGTGTAATACACTACGATAATGCAGCCATCGAGCGTCTGCTGGACCGCAGTCAGGATGCCACCGACGACTCTGACATGCAGAACATGAACGAGTATCTGAGCTCCTTCAAGGTGGCCCAGTACACTGTCAAAGAGGATGACAAGGTGGGAGATGCTTTTAAGTATTAAAATGAGCTATAAAGCAGGCTTTGATTTAATATAACACTCCATGTTTTTTTTAAATAGGCTTATTTTACAACTCTCCTTGAGTTATAATTATATTTTTAGGGTATTTTCCAACTTAAATGGGCCTAGGAAATGACAGTGAAGATTATAGACAGGAAAGTATGGGGAGCATAGAGGGAGGGAAAGAATTGGAAAAGCACCTCGAGCCGGGAATCAAACTTAAAACAAAATTCAACCATTTTTTTAATCGATTCAGCCAATATTGCCTGCTGCAATCGTGATACACAGCAAAGTTCACTGATTATTACGCCAGAATGAGAGTGTAGTTCCTAGCTATATCGGCCTAGAAAATAGCATCGTTTCATTTTCCATCAGTCTTCTGTAACTACAGAATTGTCAAGCTTCATTCATTCATTGAACACAAACTTGTAAGCGTTTTAGTGACTTTTCCACATCCAAAACTATCTATTGTAGATAGACAGTTAATAACAACATTACCGTTTACAAACTACAGTGGCACCGCCAGTATTTTAGAGCCGTAGTATTGCAATACTACCACATTACGGGTAAACCGTGCAACCCTAATTCACACCTGTTCACACATGTTCACTGGGGTTGAGCCGAGTAAACGTGCAAACTCATTCATTTATTTTCTTGTCGGCTTAGTCCCTTTATTGATCTGGGGTCGCCACAGCAGAATGAACCGCCAACTTATCCAGTACATATTTCACACAGTGGATGCCATTCCATCTGCAACCCATCTATGGGAAACATCAATACACATTCATTCACACTCATACGAATAATTTAGCCTACCTAATTCACCTGTACCTCATATCTTTGGACTTGTGGGGGAAACCAGAGCACCTGGAGGAAACCCACGCGAACGCAGATAGAACATGCAAAGAAAACACCAACAGAAACGCCAACTGACCCAGCTGAGGCTCGAACCACAACCCTCTTGCTGTGAGGCGACAGCACTACCCACTGCACCACCGTGCTGCCTTACAACGTGCAAACTCTCCCCCTAATATGAGATGGCACTTAATGAAAAACAGAAATACCCTGGTACACAAGGTGGCGCTGTGAAACTTTTTTCTTTGTACAATTTTTTCCATGTGTATTACGCTTTTCCACTTGTTTTTAACCTCCTCTGCTAAAGCACAGTACACACAAACACCTGATCAAAGGTTTGCGGGAAACGGTTACAAGCATGAAAGATACGAAATGAAATGAACTCACTATCGAATCCTATTTGGCTAGACCGTTTTGTGCTTGAGTGCCACCAAGTCATGTTTTAGCATAACTTCAATAGCTCAGACCACATGAACAAAGGTTTTTTTAACATGGCGCATCAAATAAAAAAACAACCCTGAGGTACTTTTAAAGAAATTACGTTTTTACTCCTGCCGTTTATCCTTGGTGCCTCCGATGTTGGTGGTGCCAGCGAAAACCATCCCAGTGTGCATCTAAAATAAAAAATAAATATATTTTTTGACAAATGTCATCTTTTTCATCAGATTTTTCTTAAAGATAGATACAAAAATAGATAAGCATAAAATAAATATACACTACCATTTAAAAGATCGGGCGTTATGATTTGATTACTGGACTAACCAGTTTCAAATGCTGTTTTATTCGCTCTGAAACAAAACAGTCAAAGTGTATCACCATAATTATGTCCCAGAACTGTCTCACACAATTGCTTTCCCAAACATCATCCACTTCCGAATGCAAGATAACATGACTGTTTGTTATTGTGTTTGGCCTTTGTGCTCTGAGGCGCAAGTCATTTATTTTGTAGCAAAATAGGTGTCCTCAGTTGAAGCAGCTTAAATTTTTGTATTGATACTTTTGCCAGTTTCCCTGAGAAGTGGCGTGATTGTTCTGTGAAACAAATGGGATGGAAAGGACAGTTTTTTTCACCTATGCTGGATGCGATTTTCTAGCTTTCCACTTATGTTTAATTTGCAGCATTGAATGGAGACATCTGAAAAGCAGAAGTCTTGTGGTCCAATTTCCTCATTTAATTTTATTGATATCGGTGGAAAATAAATGGTAGATATTAAAGAGGCCTCATTTGTGTTTGTGTGTCTAGATAGAGGAAATTGAGAGAGAAATCATTAAGCAGGAAGAGAATGTGGATCCTGATTATTGGGAGAAACTCCTGAGGCATCACTACGAGCAGCAGCAGGAGGATCTGGCCCGCAATCTCGGCAAAGGAAAGAGAGTTCGCAAACAGGTCAACTACAATGATGCAGCTCAAGAGGACCAAGGTACAGACGAACATAAAATGGCCTCACTGTGTCACACCACACCTGATTTTACCACTCAGAGCTGTAACATTAAACATACTCCTAGACCTAAAAACACGGTTTTGGGTTGATAAAATCATGAGACACACCGCAGCGTGCACTCAGAAGTCACTTTTGCTACTTGTTCAAAGTACTTATTTAAAATGAGCTGACACAACACAATCCTTAGGGATTTTTTGGGACAACTTATTTGTTTTTAACCACACTGAACTGAGCTAAACTGAACTGAACTTAAACACTAAAAACTGAACTACCATGATTCAGTTACTATGACCATTTATGTGACGCTGGTTTGACACAATCTACATTGTAAAAGCACTGTACAAATAAAGCTGAATTGAATTGAATTAAATTATGTTCAATCCGCTTACATTTTTAAAAACAATTGGGTTAACTTTATCGTTTTGTGTTAGGACAAAATGTGGAACCCAACATTTTTTTACAGTGTACACTGAAAAAATTACATTTGCTGTTTATTGAAACTACTTATTTAAAATGAGCCGAAACAACACAATTCTTCAGTTTTTCGGGGGACAACATAATTGTTTTTTGTTCAATCAACTTAAATTTGAGAAAACTAATAAGTTAACTTAATTCCTTTCTGTTTCCCAACACAGATTGATTGTGTGGAACCCAGAATTGTTTGTTACAGTGTAACGTTGTGGGTAATGCATTACAAGTAACGCAAGTTACATAATAATATTACCTTTAGGGGAAAAACGAAATCTGCGGACGTTTTTTGCTATTTCTGCTGAGAATTTTGGTAAAAATCTGTGGATTTCTGTGGAATTATTTTGGGAGTATCATACCTAAAACCTTTATATGTGAAATAAAAAAATAATGTCTTTTAAACTTGTTTTAAATGTTAAAAATGCAAATCCAATTAGATTCACATTATTTGATAAAGCAAGTCTCTCATTTAATATATCTACTAAATGACAAAAAAAATGACTTTACAAACTGCATTGTACATAAATCAGATGAACATTTTTATAATAGTTAGTATTATTACTATAATTAATTTAAAAACTGAATAAATATAGATTTACAAACATTTACTTAAGTAAATAAACAGAATTAATGATGGGCTAAAAATCTGCGGAATTCTGTGTGCTCAAATGCCGTGTGGGTCTAGTAATGAGTAAAGTAACACATTACTTTTAAAATATAAGTGATAATATTTGAGTTGCTTTTCTGAAAATGTAATGCGAGTTAATTTTAAGTTTAAATAATTAGCTTTTAAAAATAAATTGTTGAATTCAAATTAAGGTAGTAAATCAATTAATCACACAGTCAATGAGAGAATGTGTGAAGTTCTCAGACAACACCCTAAAATATTATTGTTTAGGAATGGGGTGTATATTTTATTGTTTATTTATGTGTTTTTTTAAAGATAAATGTAGTTGTACATTATACAGTGCGTTGTTAATTGCAGTTAGCTCCTATATTACAGTAAAAAATAATACATTTTTAATAATAAAAATAATATAAAAAATAATTTATTCCTATATTAAAGTAAAAAATTAAAAGAACAAGTTCTGAAAGAGATCAAGCCTCAGCTAGATAAAAAAAGTAACTCAAAAGTAACGTAACATCACTTAATATAAAAAGTAACTAAGTAACGCTACTAGTTACTTTTTTGGGGAAATAACTTAATATTGTAATGCATTACTTACAAAAGTAACTTTTTCAAAACACTGATAACATCAGTAGAGGTCTTTTATCAAAGGTAAATGTTTTATTAAAAAGGTTTTTTTCGGGGGACAAATTAATTGTTTTATGTTCAATCAACTTAAATTTGAGAAAATTAATAAGTTAACTTAATTCCTTCCTTTTTCCCAACACAGATTGATTGTGTGGAACCCAGCATTTTTTTTACAGTGTAACACGCAGTGTTGTGGGTAATGCATTACAAGTAATGTGAAGTTCCGTAATGATGTTACCTTTCTAAATAATGAGTAAAGTAACACATTACTTTTAAAATATAATATATTTAATAATATAAGTAATAATATTTGAGTTGCTTTTTTGAAAATTTTATGCGAATTACTTTTTAGTTTAAATAATTAGCTTTTAAAAAAATTTGCTGAATTTAATTTAAAGTAGTGAATCAATGAGTCACACAGTCAATGAAAAAATGTGTAATGTATGTGTTTTCTTAAAGGTAAATGTAGCTGTACATTATGCAGTGCGTTGTTAATTGCAGTTAGCTCCTCTATTAAAAAATAGAGTACAAAATAAAAATAAAAAGTTCTGAAAGAGATCAAGCCTCAGCCAGATAATAAAAAGTCATGCAAAAGTAACCCAAAAGTAACGTAATGCATTACTTAATATAAAAAGAAACTAAGTAACGCAACTAGTTACTTTTTTGGGAAGTAACTCGATATTGTAATGCATTACTTTCAAAAGTAACTTTCCCAAAACACTGATAACACCAGTAGTGGTCTTTTCTTAAAGGTAAAAGTTTTATAAAAAAAAAAAGTAATAAAACACCATCATGCAAACATAAAACTTTTTATTAAATGCAAAAGACATTCTGCATGACGAAACCACCTAAAACACTACATTATGGCTCTTCATGAATCACATAAATTCTTCATAAATCTTCATAAATCACTTCATGATCACAAACAAACAGGTGCATATCAATAAACTGGACAGGGAATGACAGGGAATGTCATCAAAAACTTGATTTATTTCACTAATTCAATTCCAAAAGCGAAACTCATATATTATATAGATTAATTACACCCAGATTGATATATCTCAAGTGTTTTTTTTCTTTTAATCTTTATTATAGATTATATATTCAATATTTATTTTATATTTAGGATTGATTTGTAAAGCATTTCGTCAGCGTAAGTTGAATTTAAATGTGCTCTATAAACAAAATGGTTACACTTTACAATAAGCTTGTATTAGTTAATGCATTTACTAACATGAACAAACAATGAACACTGCATTTATTAAGTTATTTGTTCGTGTTAGTTAACGTTAGTTGTTCATTGCTAGTTCATGTTAACTAAGGGTGCATTAACTAACGTTAAAAAGCATGAATTTGGATGTTAATAATGCTTTAGTGGGCGGCGCGATGGCGAAGTAGGTTGCGCTGTTGCCTCACAGCAAGAAGGTTGCTGGTTCAAGCCTCGGCTAGGTCAGTTGGAATTTCTATGTGGAGTTTGCATGTTCTCGTGTGAGCGTGTGAGCTCCGGTTTCCCCCACAAGTCCAAAGACATGCGCTATAGGTGAATTGTCCATAGTGTATGTGTGTGAATGAGAGTGTATGGGTGTTTCCTAGTGATGGGTTGCAGCTGGAAGGGCTGCATAAAACATATGCTGGATGAGATGGCGGTTCATTCCACTGTGGCAATCCCTGATTAATGTAGGGACTAAGCCGAAAAGAAAATGAATGAATAAAGTAAACGTTGAACTATGATTCATAAATGCGGTAGAAGTATTGTTCATAACTATTTCATGTTTGTAAATACATTAACTAATGAAACTTTATTGTAAAGTGTGACCAAAAAAATCTTATTTAGTCTAGTTCAAAAACACAAGCATAATAAAATAATAAAACATAAGGTTTCAATTAGTCTATAAAACCCAGGGCATCACCTAGCCCTAAAGTGTGACTTATCTGTTTTGTTTTCTTTTTAACAATGCATGTTTGTCAGGTGCAACTTATTTTCTGAAAAGAATATGTGGTGTTTGGTATTTTGCATACTGTTCTTTGATCACAGCCATGCTCATACTCCATGAACTGTGTAAAACCTGGATGATTACATTCTCCAGCCCGGATCCTTTGTGCTTTAATGGAAAAACATTTGACTGTCGGTACAAAAGCAGTCACATGATCTCCCTCAAATTCAATCATTTGATTTGTGACCTGGAAAGAGTCCGAATCTGAAATATTTGTCATGTTTGTCAGATACTGCGGATCGCAGATTTTCAGTGTGGTCTCAGACATTTGGACCCCAGCGTGTTTTTAATTACTCCAATCCTCCTGCCTTTTATTACAATAGAGCCGTGTCATAGAAATGCAGCATATTATCTCGTTTAAATCTCTGAAATTACATCTTGTAGCAGTTTCAGTCTCGGCATGTGGTTTACTACTTTACTTTTTGATTGAGTGGGAGAGAAAGACTATATCCCACACGCTGCTCTTTTGGTCAGGTTAGCCCAGCCGCATGCAGCTGACTCAAAAACGGCTACATCCACAACACCCAGGGGATGCCGAAGTGTGGCAACTTTTCATTTATGTGTCAGAAAGAGCAAAACAAAATGGTCGGGAGAGAAGACAAATAACAGAAATGAAAAAGGAGGCTTTTGCTAGAACGAAGCAATATGGAATTTATGGTTTTGCGACTGTGCTTACGGCTACATAATTACAGTGATAACTAAGATAAACTAAGTACATACTGTATACTTTTCCCTGTGTATCCAAGCAGGCTGACTCGCATGGTCGTAATGTTGTGGCACACCCTCTACCAGTGTTGGGGAAAGTTTCTTTTCAAAGTAGTGCATTACAATATTAAGTTACTTCCCAAATAAGTAACTAGTTACGTTACTTAGTTACTTTTTATGGTAAGTAATGGGTTACTTTACTTTTGCATTACTTTTTAGTACCAAGCTGAGGCTTAATCTCAGAACTTGCAGGGTGTGTTTACTGCAATTAACAACACACTGCATAAACTTCATTAAAATAACACATCAAAAATAATAATGTAGAATATGCTAACTTCTAAGAACTTCCCGACCCAAAATCTATAGCAGGGTGTCTGCGGGGTCTTAAAAAGTCTTAAAATGTCTTAAATTCCAAAAACTGAATCTTAAGCCGTAGATCTTAAATCATTTTAAATGGGTCTTAATTTTCCTTTGTTTATGCAAAGCTACTCAGTCAACCCAACACACATCCAATCACTGACAATACATCTCAATTAAACTTTTAGCAAAACTCTATTTATAACTAATATTATAACAGTCTGTTGTGCATACATTTAGTTTATTAAAGTTTTAATTTATGTGATGTTGAAAAAAAATATTTTTGTCGAAACAAGCCGACCTTTTGAAATAATAAGTAATAGTAAATAATAAAAAAATCTATATTTTAAGTAATATATATATATATATATATATATATATATATATATATATATATATATATATATATATATATATATATATATATTATTATTTATTTATTTTTTTTTTTTTTGATGGGGCAAGTCATTTTTTTATTGCTGGGCCAATACAAAAAAGCCTTAGTGTGCATGCGGATAAAGTGCTTCACTTTTTCCACATTTTTTAATGTTACAGCCTTATTCTAAAATGGATTAAATTAATTTATTTCCTCAAAATTCTACACACGACACCCCATAATGACAATGTGAAAAAAGGTTTTTCAGATGTTTCAGCAGCTTAATTGGAGTTTATCTGTGGTAAATTCAGTTGATTGGACATGATTTGAAAAGGCATACATCTGTTTCAGTCAAAGCACCTGGCATGTCATATACAAACCAAGCATGAAGAAACGTTTCTGATGGTCACTCTGTCTGAGCTTTCTTCTGTGGAGAAAGGAGAACCTTATAAAAGGGCAACCATCTGTGCAACAAGCCACCAATCAGGCCTGTATGGTAGATTGGCCAGACGGAAGCCACTCCCCGCCTGGAATTTGCCAAAAGTCATCTAAAGGACTCTCAGACCATAAGAAACAAAATTCTCTGGTCTGATGAGACTAAAATTGAACTCTTTGGAGTGAATGCCAGGCGTTACGTTTGGAGAAAACCAGGCACCACTCATCACCAGGCTAACACCACCCCTACAGTGAAGCATGGTGGTGGCAGCATCATTTTGTGGGGATGTTTTTCAGCAGCAGGAACTGGAAGAGTCAGGATAGAGGGAAAGATGAAAGCAGCAATGTACAGAGAATGTATCATTTAGGTCTAGGATGTGCAAACATCCCTGGAGAGATCTGAAAATGGCTGTACTCTCTCTCTCCTCATCCAACCTGATAAAGCTTGAGAGGTACTGCAAAGTGGAATGGGCAAAAACTCCCAAAGACAGGTGTGCCAAGCTTGTGGCATCATATTCAAAAAGACTTGATGCTGTAATTGCTACCAGAAGTGCATCAACAAAGTATTGAGCAAAGGCTGTGAATACTTATCCACATGTGATTTTTCAGGGGGGTTTATTTTATAAATTTGCCACAATTTTTGTCATTTTTCACATTGTCATTATGGGGTGTCGTGTGTAGAATTTTGAGGAAATAAATGAATTTAATCCATTTTGGAATAAGGCTGTAACATAAAAAAAATGTGGAAAAAGTGGAGCGCTATGAATATTTTCCGGATGCACTGTATATATTGTTTATCGGCCCAGTCCTCATTATTATGCTAAATAAATTACATAGAGAACTGTCAAATGGGATTTTTTTAAATATATGCTCCACTAATTGACTTTTGTGGGTTTTCATTTTAGTTTAAGCAGCCCTGTGTTTTCCTGTATGGCTAAATCATTGTGTTTGACAGCAGGATTTGGACAGAATGTGTGTTGATGGTTAGATAAGTAGAGATACAGAACATTTCGCATCAAAAGAGCCAAATCTGAAAGGATCACATCTGTCTTGCTTTCCACTGTTGGAGAGAGTCACCAAATTGATGTATATGGTTTAGGTCGGGCTTCATTTTGAGGATTCTGGTGCAGGGAAATGATCTGACCACTGGGCTGTGGTTTGCAACGAGAGTTCATTACTGACAGAGCTCTTTTGTCTGTTCTGTTCACAGAGTGGCATGCTGACATTTCAGATAACCAATCAGAGTACTCTGTTGGCTCGGAGGAGGAAGATGAAGACTTTGACGAGAGACCTGAGGGTGAGGAGCAAGCATACACACTCTGCCTTCATATTCCCCAATTGTTCATAATAATAATAATTCTAATTAACATAATAAAATGAAAGGCTTCAACTAATTCAATATTTTTATTTAATTTATGGTCTCTTTTTAAGTGGTTGATAAAAAAGCTAAAATATCTCATGACTTTATTGAAAAAACAACTCAAGCCAAATCTAGAGACGAATCCTAGCTCTGTGGTTGAAACATTTACGCATGCAAGCTCCGCTCACAGAAGAATAATTCTAGTAATATGAACTACTGTACTCCACCATTAAAAAGTCCAGGCTAAAGTGGTGCAGATTCATATGCAGAATGAACAAACAGTGCCAACTTTACCAACTAATTTGACACCCAGCGTCTTCACAATAAAACATCTAACTAAAAAAGTGAAGAAAACCCTGGGTAAAAAAGATCAAAACTGACCTCAAAAACCAACTTGGACTACTTGATGCCAAACACAAAGCTGTCAAGCTGCAAAACTATTTTACCAAAATAAAAACAAATAACTCAGGGACAAACCTCATCCAAACGGTCATGTTGCAATACTCCATTCTTTTAGACTTTAATTAAGACATTATTTTGTTTGTTTGTGTCCCTTTTGGTTCTTCAAATATATATATATAAACGTGCTATAGAAGTATTTTTGTCTGTTTGTCTTATATCTTATATAGGTCTTTAGGTTCAGTCTTGAAAATGGAACCAGTAACAAATTTTGTCAGCTGTTGGTTACAGCATAGGCTCATTCTGAAAATGTAGCCCTATATACGTTACTGGAGATTGCAAATTATGTAACCAGATGTACCAGAGGGCTGCATTTCGTCTTTAAAATCTATGCTATGGGACGTCATGACACCTTTCCTTTTCTCGCTTACCAGCTGACCGATTACATCCGTATCGACGGCTTTACTGCGGTTACTAGTTTGTCCGGTAGCTCGACATGTACAATGGCAGACTTGAGACGCACAGAGGAATTGACCACAACGACATGTTCCAGTAAATTGGTAGGACAAAAACAGAAGTCAAAAAATAAAATAAGTAAATAGCAGGGTGAAATGTCGTAAAATCTGAAAACGTGGTTAAAATCAGGTCAGGGCTTTTCTTTTTCTGGATTGCTTTTTTAAAACTGTCAGTTGGGTTTAGGGAAGTGGGTGGGCACTGGTCAGTCGGTGCTTATGAAACACTATTGTTTGGGTTTAGAGAAGGAGGAGGGTGGGTCAGTCAATCACTCAACAGTAGCCTCTAGTTGATTACCGCTAGAACAGGTGCGAATGACCCTCAGGAGAGAAATATGAGATCTGAAATAGTGTACACAGCAGCCTCTGGTGGATTTGTGAAAACAAAAACTGCAACTCTGGTAAATATGTACTCCTGGTACATATTTAGTGCTCTCCAGAAATGTATATAGCTGTACGTTTTCAGAATGAGCCTGGCTTGGTTCTTTTGGTTCAAACTAAATTATCATAGATACTTATTCTAATGAACTGCTCAGCCACACCAGAGTTTGTTTTAAAGGTTGTTTAATTAAAATAAAAAAATATTGATGTAAGTTTCAGTCTGTCAGTTTTAAGGATATCTATAGGCTAATGTGTTCCAAAACAGTGACAAAATTCACATTTAGACAATTGCCTCTTTCACACATACAGACCTTTCCAGAAAATTATTTTCGGAAAGGTCTGTATGTGTGAAAGGCCCTTTTCGAAAAATACCGGTAAATTTGTTCTGGCAATTTTCCAGAAAGAGAAGTTGTAACATTACCGGTAATTTACCAGAATGCTGCTCTGTGTGAACCCAGAAGGAAGATTGCCGGAAAGAGCATGTTCACGCTGACACGCTGACGTGAAACATGTACTCCAGAAAATCAGAACGTTCAGACACAGACACAAAAAAGCCTTTGAATATTTTTCCAGGCACATTTAGCAGCTAGATGTTAGTCTGATAATGTTTCTATGTTCCTTTTTAATGCCAACTGTATAAACAATTATCGATAAATGCTTATGACAAGCTATTGTTTGTTTACCTTTAGGCTCTACTTCCTTCAGTTGCTAGAAGCAGTCGCGAGCGCCAGCCCACACACATACAATGTACATCTCCACATGTGAAAGTGTTCCTCTATATGTTTTCATCTAAGTTGTTCACAATACTGATCCATCCACAGAGTTTGTAATGTACTCAAATGTTTACAAATACAAGCGCAGCCGTTTAGAGCTCATTTCTGGGTAATGATGTCAGAATTTACAGGTATTTTGGAATGGATGTGTGAACGGTCTTTTCCGGAAAAATTACAAAGCATCCTTGCCTGTGTAAACAGCGTTTTTTTAAATTTACCGGTAAAGTTGTTCCAGAAATTTTCCGGATATTTACCACTATCACTGTGTAAAAGGGGCTAATATAAAACTGATATAAACATTCAAAGATTGCAGTTTAACACTTCTGTCTAAATGGAACAACAGTTTTTTCACGTCACCACATACTTAAGTTTTGTGGTGTGCATCAAATCTAGATCAATCAAATGCTCTCTAGTATCTGTTTCAGATACTTTCAGTTGAGATCAAACACAGAGTAAAAAAATGCACATTTCAAAGCACTTTACGGGGCCTTTAATCAATTCAAACTACCACAAGTTTATCAGCCAGATCAGCACCAGTAGCCTTTACAACTAAAAGAGACCAAGTAAACCTTGACAAAGCATTTTAAGACTGACCTCAAAAGCCAGCTTAGTCTACTTGATGCCAAACTCATAACCCTCCAATGCCAAAACTGGAAAATTATTAAACAAATGTTCATGCACCAGCAGCACCCACAGCAATGTACTGGCTCTGGGAAAAAACCTCATCCAAACTGTGATGAAGTGATTCTCCTACCCTACTCATCTTTTGACGATTTATTTAGGACATAATTTGGTCAATTTGTGCTCTTTTGGTACGTTTGGTTCGTTATTGGGGCGCCTTGCGGCTTTGTCAGGTTTTGCTTTTCTTCTGGAGGCACATTCACAGTTTATGTATTGCAGCTGTTCAGGATAATGTATCCTTCCTGTGCTGTAACCCTGTTTCCTGATGCTGGCGCAGTGAGATGGACATGTTGAACTGATCTCTTGGCTGACTCTCCTCTCCCCTCGTCCAGGTCGCAGACAGTCACGCAGGCAACTTCGAAACGAGAAGGACAAACCACTGCCACCCCTTTTGGCCAGAGTTGGCGGCAACATTGAGGTATCGCTGATTTGTTTTTGTTTGGCTTCACTTCTGTTTATTTGTTTGTTTTGGCACTACTATTGTAAATCACTGTTGCAAAAACATGTCAGCGTGCTTGGTGTAAAATCAACACCAGCTTACTGGTCACAGTTTAATGTGATTAATAGTGCATTTTCCCAGTGTTTGCTTATCTGGAGGCCAGTATATACAGCATCTCTGGATACGTGCCTCTCATAATTAAATTGACTGACACACAGCTGGAGATAACAGGGCTGCATTTTTGCTCTTTTCAGAATTGCCCAGTAACATTTCATAATGTCAGTAAAATCAGGTCTGTTTTTCATATTGGAGCTGATTAGATTCAAATAATTTACATAAAAATGTCATCAAATGCTTTTCCAGAATATAAACATTCTTTTATCATCTGACACACGCTGAAACCAGAAATTTTCAAGAAAATAAAAATAGTATGAGATATATTGAGCACACAGCAATGTTTTAAATGCTTTTTTGCATATGTTTATTTGGACTATGATTATTTTTTTAAAGTTGGATGTAACCACTTTAAAATGTAATTCGTTACAATAAATCAATTAATTTCCCCAAAAATTTAATTAGAATATAGTAGTGCGTATAATGTATTACTGTATTCTAATTAAATTTTTGGGGAATGCAGTCATGTAACGAATTACATTTTAAATTTGTGTAGTTTGATTACAGATAAAATCACTATAATTTCATTACTTACGTTACAAATATAGTTTTTAGAAAAGTTTTTTTTATCACGTTTTCAGTTGCAACGTCAGTTAAGCCCAACCCCAATTCAGCTTTCTACCCCTACCCCTTCCCCTTGGCCCTTGAAACAGAATGTGAAGAGGAAGAGCTTCAAATTTTACCCCTAAGAAATGGGACAGCACTACAACACCTGCACACATCATCATATGTCATCGCGAGCTCTTACTATGTGAAGTTTATTCATAAACAAATTTCAAAAGAATCATGTGCTTATGATTGCTTGCGTCTGGTCCAGCATTGTCTAATTAATGTCTAATTCATTGTCCAATTTACCAATCAGATGATTCCTAAGCCACTATAAATGCCCTAAGTCCTATGCAGAGTTTACACATTCTCCCCGTGCTCACGTGGGTTTCCCCAGGGTTCCCTGGTTTCTTCCCACCGCCCAAAAACATGCAACTTAAGTTAATTGACTAATTTAAATCGGCACCATAGACATGCTCCTAGTAAGTAGTTATCTCTTAAGAGCAATTACTATCTGTTCATTAGCTACCACAGCAGGGGAGTTCTCGAGATCTGCTTGAGCTCAAACACTCCTCTCGCCTTGCAAACGAGAGGGAGCCCTGAGCTCGAGGATTTTATGAGCACAGGACTCTCTCCCGGGAGAGCATGCCAAACAATCTTTATAATCAATCATCAGCTAAGCTTGAACTCTTAAAAGATGAGATTGAGGATGCTGACTGCTGTAGTTATTACAGTAGTGTTATTTTTTGGTAACTATCTTCAGGAAATCACTGAAGACAGTGATATCATGTTATCATAACGGTATAATGTGGCAGTAAGATCGTAACTGTACTGCGCATTTACACCATGGTCATATTCAAAAGCATGACTGTAGAATATGAACGCCACTATAAATATATTCAAACATATGTTTGTTGTAAAAATTTGTAATAATGACAAAAATACTAATTTGTGCATCTCCTTACTTCCGTGTGCAGCCATGTTGCGTTGTAGCTGCTGTATTGTGGGAAATGTTTGTACCACTTGGTTTTGAGTGTGGTCCTGAAAAATCTGTTTCAAGGGCTATCTAGCCCTTCCCCTTAGCCCTACACCTTCAAGCTAAAAAAAATCGGGACACCCCTACCCCATCACCAGATGCACAAAACGGCCAAACTGGATTTTTGTGCAGGATTGGGAGAAGGTAACATCTGAAAAAACTGAAGAGAAGCATAGCTGCTTATGAGGCTGTTCACATATCATGTATTTTGTGCGTACAAGTTTGTTATTTCCAATGAAGCCGGGTCTTGCGCAAACATATTGGGCACACTCACATATTTCAGATTTCACTGATTGAACATTTGAGCATTTACATTTTGTCTCCACAACTGCAGACAAAGTGAGCTGTTTGTTTTTCCTACTATGAATGCCAATGGCTACAGGTATCCAGTTTTCTTCTAAATGTCTTCTTTTGAGGACAAAAAAGGACAAACATGTTTGGAACAAGCAAAGATTAATTATCTCTTTAAATCTTTTAAATTTGCAAAGCTGCTGTGTTAAAACCATTATGAAGTTTTTCTGTGAATATAAAATTACTGAAAGAGCCTCAGGTTATTTTGTATTTTTGTTTTAAAAGTAACTTCAAAGTAAAGTAGTTAGTAATCTGGTTACTTTTTAAATTAAGTAATTAGTAATGTAATCAAATGACAATTTTCCGGTTGTAATCAGTAGTTTTATCACTTTTGTAATCTATTACTTTTTTGAGTAACTTACCCAACACTGATTCTTTTTTCCTTTTATTTTTCTTTGCCCTCTTTTCCCCATTTTTATCTTTCTACATCACTTAGTTGTTTCGTGCTACAAATAAATACATTTGAAGTTTAATATTTGCAAAATTCTGTTGCCAAACATAAAAGCATTTTGACTTTGTTTTGTATGTTTAGCTCTTTAGGTTCAGTTTTAAAAATGACAACGTGAATGCTAAGTAAACCAGGACTAAATGTATCATTTTCTTCTTTTGGCCTGGACTAAACTGACCTAGAGATTTGGTGCTGACAGCATCGTAGGTGGTTTACCAATACGTAGCTCAACTGCTCCTTGGGTGTCCCAAGTTTGAATCTCAGCTCACAAAGCGATCCTCCTTTCCTGATCCCTTCTCCCATCCTCTAAATATTCTCCTATAACAATAAAGGCAAACAAATAAATCTTTTAACTAACCTAGAGAAGCACTCACTTTAATGCAACCTATTTGTGTTTCGATGCTGATTTCAGTGCATTTTAGTATTTTTCATTAAGGTTTGATCATTGTTTGTCTGTCAGGTATTGGGCTTTAATACGCGTCAGAGAAAAGCCTTCCTGAATGCCATCATGAGATGGGGGATGCCTGCTCAGGACGCCTTCTCTTCTCAGTGGCTCGTGCGGGACCTCCGCGGCAAGAGCGAGAAAGAGTTCAAGTAATGCTTTTTTTTTTAATAAAAAATATGAAGTAATACAATAATGTATAATCTACAGCAAAGGAAACTTCACTTTAATTCTGTCATGTTTGTTTATTCCTCTGACAGGGCATATGTGTCGCTCTTCATGAGGCATCTCTGTGAGCCAGTGGCTGATGGTTCCGAGACGTTTGCTGATGGCGTCCCACGGGAGGGGCTCTGCAGGCAGCCGGTCCTCACACGTATAGGAGTCATGTCTCTGGTCAAGAAGAAGGTCAGTGTTGGTCTGCCATGTTTTAGAGAGTCAAACCAAAGCAGCCTTGGTGGATAATCAGACATCTTTTAAATGCATAAAAAGGCTTAAAGACTTCAAAGTCTTTAATGCTATATTTTCTTCAAAGCCTTAAGCATTACACAAACTGTAAGGATCAGATCACTTAATTGAAAATGTATTATACACACAGACACTACCTTTTTCAAAATGTACACTATATTTTGTATAACTGCAGGTAACTATTTATAATGATTTTGATTGTGATATAAAGATGTGAAACTTTTGCAAAGCTGCTTTGGAATGATAATCAATATGCAAATACATTTAAAACGCATAGTTTTTATCTAAAGATTTATCAAATTCCTAATGATTTACCCTGTAATGCCTCTGTTAGACAGTTGGTAAAACTCTTGAATGAGTTTAACGCACTACTGCTGCAGCCATACACATTCAGACAGACCAATGGCTACTGTGTCATGTATCAATGTTGTGTCCTGTTTTAAGGGTTAAAATTTTAAAAGTCCTGTTTTAAGGGTTAAAATTTTAAAACTTTGTAAAAAAAAAAAAGATTTCACAAGAATTTATTTCCTTTTACTTGTGTGCTTCACCTTTTGTACTGAAGAATGTGTTATTTGTGCCCACAAAACCAGACATAAGTGTCATTTTTTAGAGATTTCAAATATATGTATGTGCATATATATATATATATATATATATATATATATTTGTGTGTGTGTGTATATACAGCAGAAAGTTTACTAAATATCTTCATTGAACACAATTTATATCTAATATTCCAATGATTTTTTGCATAAAAGAAAGTTAAATAATTTTGAAATAAAATGTAATTTTTTGGTTATTGTCCAGAAGTATACCCATGCAATTTAAGGACTTATTCACACAGATCACGTCTTAGCTTCTAAAAACAAACAAACAAACAAAAAACATTCAAAAAGTACAATGCAATGGTCTATGCGGAATATTATGAACGTCATGTAACAACGACAATAACTTACCGATTTAAAAAATGGGAAAATAATCTGTTATGATAAGCACTTAAAGACACATCATATAACTCAGGATATCTGGAGAAAGCCACAATGAGTGCCACTTCCAACATAATATGAAGGTAAATAAAACATTTGTCATGCCAACTTTGCAATGGTTGCCTCGCCTCTGAGCTCATCTGATTGGTCCACTGCTTTTGGACCCGACAGTGATGAGATGTGCTGCATGAGAAAGTTGAAGATTTTACAACTTGACGCTAATTCTAAAAAAAGTGACACTCACATGGGAAGCTCTTCTAAAGATGCAAGCATAATGGTTAAACACGTCTGTCAAGCACATATTTATATTGAAAAAGAGTAGAAAAGTAGCACACTGGAACCTTCTGCGTGAACGACCCCTATTGCTGTGTTCACACCAGATGTGGCACACGCGAATGAATAGCTCTATTCGCACACAGTTAGATGTGTGAACATTTTTGGTTTACTGCATTCGCTATCAAATTCGCTTAATTCGCGCATCAAATTTACTTCACAATAGACGCAGATTCATGTCATGGGCAGGGCTTCTGTATGCCCGGTGACTCATACAGCACAGCTATTTAGTGCTTTAGGAAGGCTGAAAAACTACGTAGATTTGTCCAGAGCCGTGTCTGAGTCCACTAGGTCCTTTCAGAGGTGCACCCAGCTCTGTGAGCTAATCAACTCCTCCAGGAACTATACCTGGATGGTGGAGGCTTTCAGCGGTGCTTCTGGCTGTGCCGAGCCCAGTTTGATAAACTGTTGTCCAGTGTCGAAAAGAGATTTCCCCCTAGGACACCAACAACTGGCACTACGTCATAATCACTCCTCTACAAGAGCAAGCTCATGATTGGTTAACATGGCGCAAATGTCTGCTGAAGTACAGATTTTCCAACTCGAGTGATTTGCATTGACTTAACATGTAAATCTCTCGCAACTGATGCTTCATCCACGTCTGGTGTGAACGCAGCATAAGTTTTGTGGTCCAGGGTCACATTTGATTTTAACAGCCCCTAAAAATCAAGCAAAATACATACAGGTATAATTACTACAACTTTTAGTCAACTAGTCAGATGGAGATTTTCCCATTCCTACAATTATTGTTTCACAACAATGAAGATAAGCATATAAAATGTAAGCTACTTTATACTTCAGTTTTTTTCTGATTGTGAACTGTAGTAAAGAGGCAGGTGGCCATAATGTTGTGTGCAGGTGCAAGAGTTTGAACATATCAATGGGAAATGGAGCATGCCTGAGCTGAAGCCAGAGATCACCGTTGACTCTAAGAAATCCTCAAGAGCCTCTTCGCCCACCATCAAGACAGACACTCCCACACCTGAACTGAGCTGCAACAACACACCCTGCACCTCCAAACCAGGTACAAACCCACCCAAGACCCTTACACACAAAGACATTTTAGCAAACAGAGACTTTATTGCTGCAACTGTTCCCATAGCCACCCCCTCTCCACCTGACAAGACGGAGAAGAGCGCAAAAGAGGCAGAGAAAGATGAGGCCGAGTCCCTGACAGAACCAGAGAGAGAGCGAGAGAAGGAAAAAGCGAAAGAAGCAAAGGAGGGAGAGAGTGTGGAGAGCACAGAACACGGAGAAGTAAGTGTGTGGTTGTGTGTGTACTGGTTTTGGTGGTTTACGAGGAGGAATTTGTTTAATGGCATTAATATTACAATATGGAGGTTAGTTATGAGGACATGGTTTTGGTGGTTTTATGAGCCAGAGACATATCACCCTGCAGCCCAAGACTGATTACACACTGAAGCTAAGCAGGGCTGAGCCTAGTCAGTACCTGGATGGGAGACCACATGAGAAAACAAGGTTAAAAGTGGTGTTAAAGAGGCCAGCAGGGGCCGCTAAGCCTGTGGTCTGTGTGAGTCTTATGGATGAGACGTTAAACCAAGGCCCTGACACTGTGGTCTATAAAAATCCCATGTAACCCGATGTCCTGGCCAAAGTCCCTCAATCGGCCCTTACGATTATGTGGTGAGCGCACTGGCACGTTGTCCTGTGGCTGCCATCGTATCATCCAAGTGGATGCTGTACACTGGTGGTGGTGTGGAGAGACCCCTAACCACCACCCCCCTCTCATGATTGTGAAGCGCTTTGGGTGTATGGCCATACACGATAAATGCGCTATATAAATACACATTACATGTGTTGTGTCCCCATAATCCTCATAATTCAGAACTGTTACAAATCACACTTACTGTAGCTGGGTCTTGTTAGGGGTAGTGTTAGAGCAGGGGTGTCAAACTCAGTTCCATGAGAGTCACAGCCCTGCACAGTTTAGTTCCAACACTGCTTCAACACACTTACCTGTAGGTCTCAAACAAGCCTGAATGACTCAATTGGTTGGGTCAGATGTGTTTAATTAGGGTAGGAACTAAACTGTGCAGAGCTATCACCCTCCAGGAACTGAGTTTGACACCTGTGTGTTAGAGGAAGGCTATATAATAAGCATTGTTTACTGGATAAAATACATTACACCAATTGAAAGTCCTCAAAAACCAGAAACAAAGTAAGTTTGAATGTCTGTGTGTCATACAGTGTGTGTCCCCTCAACGATACTGTAGTAAAACCTGAACTGTTTGATATTTTGAGGTCAGGCCACCAGTCACCATATTTAAGGATGGAAACGTACTGTTTGGTTAGTGTAAAGACAAAAGAAATATTTTAAAGTCCCCACAATTCACATAAATCTAGAGTGAGGAGTGTGTGTGTGTTTGTGTGTGTGTGTGTCTTGTTTTCCTTACATTGTGAGGACAAATTTCGACCTTGTGGGGACATTGCTTTTGATCCCCATAAAGAAAGTAGCTCATATATCACAGAGAATTGAGATTTTTGAAAATGTAAAAATACAGATTGTTTACTGTGAGGGTTTGATTTACGGGTGGGGTCGGGGTAGGGGGATAGAAAATACTGTTTGAACATCAGACAACTCCATTGTTTCTTGGGACAGAAGGGGCAGTAAATCATTTTATCTGTCCTTATAAAAATAGCTGTACAGTTTGTGTGCATGTGTGTGTGTTGGCATGTGGCAGGGTTTATTTTGATTTATAGGTTTAGCTAAACACTGTGTATCTGATTAAATTTAAATTTCATATGTCTAATAGAGTGTTGGAGAGCATGTTGTTGTTTACTTTTAAAGATAATTCTTAAGATTTTTACGCTATGTGATAATTCCTTCATTTTAATATTAAAAAGTAATGTCTGTGGTTTAGAATGTGACTAGCGTTTAAAAAGTGGAGATTTTTTTTAATACCAAACAATGTTTAAACTACTAATTAAAATAAGCAGAATCAACACAATTCTTGTTTTTTTTTTTGGGACAGCTTAATTGTTTTACGTTCAATCCACTTAAATTTGTAAAAACAATTAAGTTAACATAATCGATTTGTTATGTTTGATGAAATAAAGGAATTGTGGGGAGCCCAGTAATTTTAAAGTGTAACTGTATTTGAATTGTAGGGACTTTTTTATAGATTTCTTTTGTCTTAATACTAACCAAACAATGTTTTCTATCCATGAAATCAACAGTACCCTCCATCCTACCTTTAAAAAAAACTGACTGCATTTTTACACTTTCAAATAGAGTATTTTTAATATTTCTTACCTCATGGGGACTGGTTGCCTGACCTCAAAATTTCAAACATTTCAGATTTTACTACAGTATCATTGTGGGGGGACACAATGTATGATAAACCAATGCAATCATAGACAGAGACATACACACATACTTTTTTATGATGGTTTGTGAGGACTCCCGGTTGGCGTAATGTATTTTATGCCATAAAAACTGCTTATTATATCGCCTTCTTCTAACCCAGGGGTGTCCAAACTCGGCCCTGGAGGGCATGAGCCCTGCAGATTTTAGCTCCAACTTGCCTCAACACACCTGCAAAGATGTTTCTAGAAAGCCTAGTAAGAGCTTGATTAGCTAGCCCAGGTGTGTCTGATAGTGGTTGGAACTAAACTTTGCAGGACACCAGCCCTCCAGAGTTTGGACATGGCTGATCTAACCCTACCACTAAACTCAACGAATAGAAATCTGTGGGAAATTAAAAGACTCCATTATGCAGGATTTTTAATCATATTAAATTATGAGGACAAAATGCATGTCCTTATAAACCGCCGACACATTCTATAAATTTAGAATATGCATAATGCAGTAATATCAGTAATGTTATGTTTTAAAATAGCTTCTTAATGTATTTTTAATTGATATATATTTTAGCTGCCATTACTGAGCGCTCATGAAATGTTTCTTATAATTATCAATGCTGAATAGAGTTACTTGCATTTGTTTGAAACAGATTTTTGTTTTGTAACAGAGTAAACATTTTTATTGATTCCGTTTCATCTCTTTTTATTCCTCTTTACCTAATCAAAGTATTCATTTCTTAAACTCATACTGACCCCGAAGTTTGGAATGATTGTCTATGAATGTGGAAAAATCAAAGTGAATCTTCTGAATGCCAGTGCAAGATATCTTTTGTTGTTTGTTCAAATACACAGTTCACTTCCTAAGCAACATTGTTTGACATTAATCAGACTTGATAACAACTGCTTTTCATTGTACCAAAAGGAGATATTTCATTCAACAATTATTTTAATATGTTGTGCATGCAATGTAGGTCAGTGGGCACCAAAATTATTACCAACATTCTTCAAAAAAATCTTCTTTGGTGTTCAGCAGAAAGGCAAGCAAAAAGTATATTGTTTTTATTTTTTTTTTAATGTAATTTACTGGTCATAAAAGCAGATTGCCCTAATCCATCTGGCCTGGTGGAAACCTAATGGCCCAAATCTCCAATAATCTTTGATAATAGGACTGTTTCAGCCCAACACACAGCACTTTTGGTGATTTTCATCTCAGTTTGTGCAAAAATCTAATGTACAACAGCTCTGTTCCAGGATGTCTGAAAAAGCAGGAAGCAAACAGTCCAAAAAACTGCATTACAGACTGTCTTATTAAGCGCAACATCTGCTATAATGTAATGAAACCAACATCTGTTACAATATAATGAAATAATTAAGATTTATTTGTTGCTTGTTACAAAATGATTTTATCAGGATACAGCTTTTAAATAATTGTTTAAAGAAGTGTTTGTTTTTTAACAATAATATCGTCATGTAAATATATTGTATGTGACACTCAAATAAAGCAAACGTTTCTTTATGTTCTTCCAGGCTACAGGGAACGAGGGTGAGAAAGATCCAATAACCAGTGAAAAATCTCAGACATCTGAAAGTCCAGCAGCGGCAGCTTCTGATGACTCAAAAACTAAAGAAAATCCTGACATCTCTCAGTCTCCACCAAAAGAAAAGAATGAGAAGGAGAAACAAGAGGAGGAGGAGGGCAAGGAAAAAGAGCCCTCCACCGAGAAACCGTCTGATTCTCCATCTGTTAAAGAAGAGAGCAAAGGTAACAAATGATGAAATCTGGTCAACTGTAATTCGTCTTTCAGTTTATTGTAATCTGACTGTTGTCTGTCATCGCAGAGGCTCTGAAAGGTGACAAAAAAGAAAAGGCTGGAGAAGAGAAGGAGAAAACTGAAGCATCGTCCCCTCCCTCAGAAACAACAGAGAAGAAGGACAAATTAGATCAGTCGTCTGAGGTCAAAAAAGGTGAGATTTCTTTGCATTTTGTATATTTCATACTTTATATAAAAGAACATAAAAAATGGTGGAGTTAAAACTTGCCTATTTCTAAGAAGGGGGACCAGAGGGTGTGCTCCAAGTATAGGGGATCACACTCCTCAACCTTCTTGGGAAATTCTATGCCAGGCTACTGGAGAGGAGAATCCGGCCAATGGTTGAACCTAGGATCCAAGAGGAACAATGCAGTTTTCGTCAAGGCAGTGGTACACTGGACCAGCTCTAAACCCTCACCAGGGTGCTTGAGGGTTCATAGGAGTATTCCCACCCAGTCCACATGTGTTTTGTGGACTTGGAAAAAGCATTCAGCCGTGTCCCTCGTGGCATTCTGTATAGGGTGCTCTGGGAGCATGGGGTCAGAGGTGCTCTGTTAAGGGCTGTTTCCTCCCTGTGTGAACAGAATAAGAGTTTGGTTCGCATTGCCAGCAATAAGTCAGACTTGTTTTCAGTGCATGTTGGATTCTGGCAGGGCTGCCCTTTGTCACCAATTCTGTTCATAATTTATATGGACAGAATTTCAAAGCGCAGCTTGGGCTGGAGGGGATCCCGTTCGGAAACTACAGGATTTCATCTCTGTTTTATGCAGATGATGTTGTTCTGTTGGCTTTATCGAACATGGACCTTCAGTATGCTCTAGAGTGGTTTGTTGCCGACAGTGACGCGGCTGGGGTGAGAATCAGCACCTCCAAGTCCGAGGCCATGGTGCTCCACCGGAAAAAGGTGGTTTGCTATGTTAGAGGAAAGTCCTTACGCCAGGTGAAGGAGTTTAAGTATCTTGGGGTTTTGTTCACGAGTGAAGGAGCTGAGGAGCTGAGCAGAAAGGCAAAGCTCTCGAATTACCGATCAATCTACGTTCACATATGGTCATGAGCTTTGAGTCATGTCCGAAAAGACAAGATCTTGAATACAAACGGCCAACATGAGTTTCCTTCGCAGGGTGGCAGGGCGCACCCTTATAGATAGGGTGAGAAGCTCTGTCACCCAGGAGGAGCGAATCGAGAGAAGTCTGCTGAGATGGCTCGGGCATCTGTTTCAGATGCCTCCTGGACGCCTACCTAGGGAGGTTTTCCAGGCATGTCCAACCGGAAGGAGGCCTCTGGGAAGACCCGGGACATGCTGGAGGTACTGTGTCTCTCGGCCGGCCTGGGAACGCCTCGGGATTCCACGGAGGAGCTGGAGGAAGTGTCTTGGGAGAGGAAAGTCTGGAAGTGTCTTGGGAGAGGAAAGTTCTCTCCTAGGACTGCTGGCCCTGCGACCCGGCCCTGGAAAAGCACTTGAAAATGAATGAGTTCAAATTTGTTTGTACAATTACACTTAATAGTGCAATGAACGCTACATTAAAGCCGGATATATACTTTTGTAATGAAAGAATGGTGTACCACATGACACATAGTTTGCACAAACCCCACACTCTTGTGAACATTTATACTTCTGCGTTCTGCCTGTTTTGCTCTGATAACACTCCCAAACTCTAGTAGGCAGTGGGGTTTCTATTGCCCACTGTGTTGAGTTTCTCTGCTGGTGTTTTGGGTTTACGACACAAATGGGTGTGGTGCTACTGTAGAATTCACACTCTATCAAGAAAGAAAGAGGTGGGAACCAGCAGTGGAAACAGTGGAAATTAGCCACATAGCCATCACTGTGGCTGACACTAACGCGCACCTCTCGAAAAATGTAACGACATGTCGCAACAACGCATTGTGCAAGCTCTGTGATTGGTTGGTTTGGTAGCGCTGACAAGTGTGGGCGGTGCTTACAAGCGTTGAGTCCTGTGAAGAACCTCCTTATGGAAAATTTTGTTTTGTGTTTTTAAGGTATTAAGAAAGCATTCAGAAAAGAAAAAAAACACCCACAAAGAACCTCAACAACGAGGATAATAAAAGCCTACTGCCAGCTAGCGTTTCAGAAGTGTTATTGCAGAGCAACACAAACAGCTTGTAAAAGTATAAATGCATGGCTACGTGCAAGGCAGGCGCCATGGTTCATGACAATCAGTCGACGCAGAAGTATAAACCATCCTTTACAGACAGGAAAGTGTAGGAAGCGGAGATATGGACCTCAAGCCAGGAATCAAACTTGGGTCGCTGCAAGCACCCCGATGATACGTGTCGACGCATCAACCGCTAGGCTGTTGGCGCCAACTAGAGTTTCTTTTAAACCCTCCGGTCAGCGGCCTCTCTCCATCCACCTCCATATTCTCTACCAATCACAGCTCTTGTGTTCGACATCGTCACAATGTGCCATTACATTTTTTGAAGGGTTCACATCACAGCAAATACTATAGAACTGTCAAATAAGAGACTTGAGAAATATTGAAGAATAAAATTAGAAAACAGTTCTATGGAAGTTGGAATTAAAGAAATGCTTAACGGTCAGAATAATAATAGCTTAACAATTATTTGAAGGAAACTGGTTTATTAAACCGAGTATAATTTGCATAATTTTATACAATTTTTGATGGGACATTTGAAAGTTGATTTAATTCCACACTCCAGACTGCCATTAAAATGAAAAGAAGTAGAATGGTTCACATTAGAGTATGGCAAAGATTACGGCTGCGTCTGAAGTGGCCTATTACTCAGTATAAATGCGAGTAGTATGAATGTAACTCGGACGTACTACATTTGCTCTTTTGTCATGATAACGTGACCTATCTGTGTAATAGTTGCATACTATTCATGAATTCTCTTGTGGTGCATCATGGGATAGCGAATCGGCCATCCGATGCATACTTCAGAATCTTGCCGGAAGTAGTAGGTCATCAGAGGACTTCTTGCATACTGATTTTCGAACTTTATGAATTCAGACATACTACTCGGCACGCATACTGTTTTTAGCGTACAATATAGTATGGAAGTATGCGATTTTAGATGCACCCTGATTGACAGTGTGAAGGCAGTGCTGGACCATCTCGATGCAGAAGTATAAATTGGCCTCAAGACTACAGTTTTTTTTTTCGTGAAGAGTAAATTACTAGGAATATGATGTAAACTTGTTTTTCTTCTTCCATCGGGTCACAGAGGAGGTGAAGGGTGAAAGGGATGCTGGGAAGGAGGTCAGAGTGCAGAGGGAGGAGGTGCCCAAAGTTATCAGCAGACCAGCAGAGCGTCCACGGTTCATGTTCAACATCGCAGATGGAGGATTCACAGGTAAACTCAAACACTGGTTAAAGCTGCAGTGTGATTTTTGTTTGTGTTGAACTACTTACAATATTGAAGCCATCTTTTCTCTTGTACTAATTCAAATGTTTGTGGCAATAACAAAAGTGATGACTAAACAAAACTATTTATGTTGTATTTGATAAACTGATTATGTGTCTTTAAAATTATAGATAATTATAATTTAGAGAATTTATTTGCAGTAAATGACAGTAGGTTAGTATTAAATATCTTGTTTTCAGACCTTAAATATTGGAAATTAATAATTGTTTTTTTAAAAAAAACTTTATATATCCTGAGTCCTAAAGTGTTTATTTAAAGTTTTTAATGAATACATGAAATAAATATATATTTTATATAATCTATCTATCCATCCATCCATCCATCCATCCATCCATCCATCCATCTATCTGTCTCTTTGTCTGTCTGTCTGTCTATTTATCTACTGTCTTAATCCATCCATCCATTCATAAATCCATCCATCCATCCACCCACTCACCCGATCATCCATCCATCCACCCTCCCACCCAATCATCCATCCATCCATCCATCCATCCATCCATCCATCCATCCACCCAATCATCCATCTATCCATCCATCCTTCCATCCATCAATCCACCCATTAATAAGATGTTGTTTGCCTACAGATGTGGTGTATTTTTGCCATTTTCTAGTAGGGGCTAACTAGTCCAAGTTTACAAAGAATAATTAATAGCCACAGTTTTTATTTAATTTTATTTTTTGCGTTTAATTTTGCAATTCTAATAGCAATAAAAATAGCATCCTGTAAAAGAAATGTTTATGTTAAGTACCTGCATCACTTTTGATGCTGTCAATCTGCTGAACATCTCACTCATTCCTACAGTACGTCTTCACCTTAACCATGTTTGCCCTTAAATCAAAACATGCCAGGTCATTGTGCCAACGTTATGTAAATCCAATCACTCGTGTAATGTTAGGTATGTCCTGTTATGATAAAGTGCAATAGAGCAGAGTGTTTAGTCGAGGGAACATGACTCTGAATGTCTCTGAGCTTCTGTTCAGCGGTTTTACCAGTAACAGCAAGCAGTGATTTCATCTGTCAGTGGTTTACAAATGCTCCTTAGATTAGTTTCCATCGTTTCACCATTGATTATTTCCTAAAATGACTCATGTTGAAATGTGAAAGCCTATGATTTCATGCATTCTGATTATATTCATGGTCAAATCTGCATGTAAATGTCAGCTTGCGTGTTTATGCTTTGCGAGCATATAGTGTAGGAGTGCATGCATCAGTGTTTCTCAGCGAGTCTAATACTATGAATAATTGACCTGTGGTAAGGGTGGATACTTCAATGGGAGTACTGGGAATATAAAGGGAGAGTTCAGGACTAGGAGTGTCATTACTGTTCTGCAATATGTTTTGAAGATGAGTGTAATGACCAGCACTGTATCATGCTTTTCTCTAATTTTTCACCTACTAGTGTCACTTATTTGTTTTCTTTTATTCTAAGCAGTGGTTAACTAAACCACAGTTCCCATTGTAAATACATATAACTCATTCATTTTCCTTCAGTTTAGGTCCTTATTTATCACGGGTCATGATTTATTGTTACTAGTTTGTCCAGAAAATAACAAAAATTGGTCGGGATAGCAAAGATTATAGTGATGTTATATTGATTTTTGGTCAAAACAGTTTAGATAGTTACATATTCGTATATTGATGTTTTGTTCATTTATATATATTGTCTGTTGCTTGAAATAGTTAGCTCATTCCTCACAACCAATTATTCATGTCAATGAAAGTGTCAGTTTCATCAAGATGAAAAGTCCTGACACCATTGCTTATGAACAAGATAGTCAAATGGCTTTGTCATGTTTTCATTATGACAGTTTACTCTGTACACTTTCCCCAATGCAAAGAAGTCTGATTTTGGTGACACTTCCTGAGAATGCCCAAGACAGCACTATATACTATTTGCACAGCCATTTGAAAACTACATTAAAGTTGGACATCACTGCATTTAGAGAGGTATCTGAGAGGGACACTGGAACGTTTTAATGCCACAGTTCATCAGTGGATCGCAGCTTGTAAATTGTATGTCAGCTTATAAATAAACCAGCTGACCGACCTGACTTTGAAATGCTCCAGTGTCTCTGTATCTGTGTTTACACTCAGTAAACAGTGGTGAGTTTGGTGAACTGATGACCTTCACGACCAATCACAGTAATTTCTGTTGAGCATGTGAGCACAATGACAAATTAGCACTGTTTAAGATCGTGCTCAGTAGCGCTCAAATGTTAGCGGAAAATTTTTAGTATCGATTTGTACAGAATTCCAGTATCGTTACAACATAGTGTGTAAATACAGTTGAAGTCAGAATTATTAGCCCCCCTGTTTAATTTTTTCCCCAATTTCTGTTTAACGGAGAAGAGATTTTTTCAACACATTTCTAAACATAATTTATAAAGTTTTATTTACTCATTTCTAATAACTGATTTATTTTATCTTTGCCATGATGACAGTAAATAATATTTGTCTAGATATTTTTCAAGACACTTCCATACAGCTTAAAGTGACATTTAAAGGCTTAACTAGGTTAATTAGGTTAACTAGGCAGGTTAGGGTAATTAGGCAATTTATTGTATAATAATGGTTTGTTCTGTAGGCTATCGAAACAAATATAGCTTAAAGGGGCTAATAATTTTGCCCTTAAAATGGCTTTTAAAAAATTAAAACTGCTTTAATTCTAGCCAAAATAAACAAATAAGACTTTCTCCAGAAGAAAAAATATTATCAGACATACTGTGAAAATTTCCTTGCTCTGTTAAACATCATTTGGGAAATATTTTAAAAAGAAAAAATATTCAAAGGGGGTCTAATAATTCTGACTTCAACTGTATATATCACAAACTGAGGGGACGGGGGGAGTCGGTGGAGCGAGGAAGCGATCAAAAATTGAGGAGCAGAGAAGGGGGGCGGGGTGGAGTGACAACGCGGGGAAGCCTTCACAAACTGGAGCGATCACAAACAAGCGGCGAGAGCGTCAAAGTAACCAGAAGTCATTCATTTTCAATGAGAACCGGCGGCGAGGAGCAGTGCGGTGCATCCTCTCCGGTGTGGGTGTCGAGGAGAGTTGAAATCAAGTCAACTTTATGGTAGTGGTGAGTTATGACGCGGTTGGGCGGCAAGCAATCAGTGTGAAGTAGTCCACAGTTTTAGAGAAGTTCAGAAAACACAGTCCTGTGAACTTTGGTTCTGACCACTGATGTTCCCAGGGGTTTGATTATTGCGGTTGCCGGATTTTCAAATCACGACGCGGGGCCCCCTAATCACGCGGGGCCCTCCCTGTCCGCTACGCCACTGCTTCTCAAACGATCAGGGAAACGGGCCTTGGCACGGTTTGGATAGCATAGTGTGAATTCGCCTTTACCTAAATCCCAACCCCAACCTAGCAGCCTACTTATAATCTAATGAGAATTAAATGGCATGTACAGTAGATGCAATGTAACTTAAATTTAGCAAACAGACCAACAAAACCAAGTGTGACCTTCTTTACTAAAAGGCTGGTTACTATACAGTACCAACAATTAGGGTCAATAGTGGTAGCCTCTTACAGATTTCAAAGAAAAATCTTAGTATTAAAAAGGGAAACATAAGCTGGACCACAACCGATCATATCAATGTCACAATGAATGCTGAAATAATGTAGCCTAGTTTATTAGGTCTGTTATTTTAACTAAAAAATATTTGTTATTTGAGCTCATCACCAGAACTATAGAAACTGTATTGTTAAAAAATAAAGACACAGTATCGGGATTGGATCTGTATCAGTGGATACTCAAAATTTTGGCATCCAATCGGTTCCAAAAAAAAAAATGGTATCGGCGCATCCCTAGTTAAAAACAAGAACATAAATTCACAAAATAAAATTTCAGCTTTTAATATTGTCATTTTATTGATTCTTAGCCATAAGATGAAAATAATCATCTGTGTCAGCCATCATTTTAAAAACTGAGCATTCCTGCCTGTACTTTTGAAATTTCCTAATATTCAAAAGCCTTCTCTTGGCAGGCCAGTGGTAAATCTCTACTCTATTATTGCTTAGATCCCCCCGCCTCAGCCCCAGTCACTATAAATAGTTCCAGTTCCCAGAAGCCAATCACTTTATAGCGTTTAATTTACAACTTTGAAGGAGAACAACTAAACATCAAGGGGTTTGTATTTAGCGTGGATAAACATTTCACCAGCGCTGATAAAACATTTCAAGCAAACACTACACATGCCGCCTGCACTCTGAACATCACCATTGTGTTTATAGCTAGATAACAGGATTTATGCACTTGCAAGCTTTGTTGTCGGAGGACTGTTGCCTGTTATTTATTTTCCTTCAGCAGGTATAATGGGATGGTATCTGATATCTGCTGGTGTTTTTTTCTCATCTACACAGAGCTCCACACTCTCTGGCAGAATGAGGAGCGGGCAGCTATTTCATCAGGCAAGATCAACGAGATCTGGCACCGGCGGCACGACTTCTGGCTGCTTTCAGGAATCGTGTGGTATCCTTCGAGATAGACTGATCCTGTCACCGTGCAAACTATCCAGATCTATTAATGTATATTTATACTGCGTTTGCTGAATGAACAGTGTTTAGAGCTCAAAGCCAAGAAGAACATGGTGGTAAAACGAGATGGAGAAACGCAATAACATTCACACACAAAATACGTTCATTTGCTTTGCTGAATTCTACAAAGAGCAAAGTTTTTTTTAATTTTTATTAAAAACTTAAATTATTTTATTAACAACTTCTTTTCTACTGCAGATTGTCCATTAGAGTTAAGTTGCTTTGATTTTAAAAGATTGATCAGTTGTGTTTTTTTTCTAAAAGTAAATAATTATAAATTAATGGAGAATTGTATTATACAATTAATTATGCACAGTTTTTTAAACTCTGAAATACTGCTGATACAACTAATTTTATGCTCTCTTTTTTATATATATTTAGAGAACATGTTGACAAAATGTGTTCTTCTCAGATTATTTATTACATTTTCTTAGGCCCCGTTTATATTAACACGTTTACAGTTTAAAATAATGAGTTTTGCTACGATTACGCCTTCTGTCCACACTACCCCAGAGTTTTAAAGCGCTGGAAACTAAGCGTTTTAAATTTTTTTTTAGCGTTTTAGTATGAAAATGCTGCTAAAACAGAGAACATCAGAAAATAGAGGCGTGGCTGCAGACAGTCGTGCTACCTGATTGGGTCTTTTTCTCTGTATTAAGCACACACAATTCAGTCTTGCATCGTTTCCTTGTAAGTTCAGACTTTGCAAAATTGCTATGAAAAACAAACTTTCAAGGACACGTCGGGTAAATCTTCATAGGGAACAGTGTGGCTACTTTATTACATACTTCACATCACTCTGGCTATGTTGTTTTACTATTTTAACAATAAAATAAAAACATAATATAAGGAACTGCCTATTTTCATTTTGATATAAGCAACTTAACAGACACCAATAATAAGGCATCGTGTTGCTACATATTTATATGACCGTCATCTTCACTGTGTGCATATTTAAAACAACTTTTTATAACATCCTTTCATTTTTATTGAAAACTATGAAACATACCGTCTCTTTTGCTGAATATCAGTTTTAATAATCAGTAATGGCAATCAATATCATAATAAGTTTATACAATATAGGAAATAAAGACAAGCAATCAGTCAAATGTGCAGAATTAATGTACGTGGTTACATAAATTAATGGATTAACTTATCTTTGCGCTCAGTCAAAACACATTACCTGATAGATTTAAAAGAAAGTCATTAGATAAAGACAAGATTAGACTAATTAAGTATCAAGTTATCAACTATAGTAAGATAAGATCCAGCAGTATATCCTTGATGAACTGTCTGACATGCGCTGCTCTCACCAGAGGAGGTGTGCTCAAAGCCCTCGCAGACTGCCTGAGGATCAGACCTCCAGATATGCTGCAGCACATGACAGAGTGTTGTGTGGTCATGTGATGTGTGTTGTTAGCGGTATATTGTGGATGGAGAACTTTTAGGTAACTCTAAGTAAAACGTAAGTGTAGCGTAGATCGTTTTCGTTCTAAAACGCCATTTATAAAATAAAACATATTAGTGTAAATGGGGCTTTAATGTAATAAATCTAATTACCATCTTAACATCTTTCTTAAAAAGCTTTTTCATTTACAATGTCTCTGTTGATTATATTTAACTTTTTTATTTTATGTCTTAATTATTGTAAACAAATAAATTATTAAATAGACCTAAATAATTATTTATGTAAAGACAATATCAGTAAAACATTACCAGTCTAAAGGGCTTTAAAGTTGAATGGTACTTCATCAAAAGCATAAAAATAAACTGGCCTACCTGAAGCAGATCACTAATACTATAATAAAAGTAATTTTGCCACAGGACATAAATAAACTCTAGCAAGTTTATTTTATATAGTTTAGTTTCCTTTTTTTTCAAAATGACAATGTTCTCTTTTAAGTTATAGTTATGTTTTTGAAAAGCTTTTTAAAACTATAAATGGCCCAGTATCTTTTATGTTGTTTAATTTCAATTTCCGTCACTTTCTTGCATGAGTGTGAAATATAATGTGCGCATAACAGCATAAAAAAGGAAAACTCAGTCAAAAGTTACAGCTAATTCCTCAAAATTAGCTAAATTCTAAAATAATTTATTTATTATTTTTTAAATGTTTTAATTTAAGAGTATTTTAAGAAAACACCTCGTCAAAAAAGTATGAGTTTCTAAACTATTATTTACATACTGCTGTAGCATTTATTGCCATTTTTTTATGATATATATATATATTTTTTTTTTGTAAATTCCTTGTCATTTTTTCCGTTTTGTTAAAGTTTTAATTAAACTTAATATTTTACATTGTTTTTGTAATTTTGTCACTTAAGCTTTTTTTTATTTCAGTTAACTGCCCAGGTTTGACCCTTGACCTCTTTCAGTCATGGCTACGCACGGTGGCAGGACATTCAGAATGACCCGCAGTTTGCAATCATAAATGAACCCTTCAAAACTCAAGCCAACAAAGGAAACTTCTTAGAGATGAAAAACAAGTTCCTGGCAAGACGGTTCAAGGTATGTTGTTAATAAAGAATATCAAGTATAGTTATTATATCTTCTTTTTGTTTGTTGTTATATCTTCTGCAGCGTTCATTCTGTTTATTTTTCATGTTACCTATTTTCTTGCATTGCAATATGTCAATGCTTGAAAGAACTTTCTTTCATTTATATCATAATGATATGCTTGTGAATATATCCTCCGACCCTTGCCTTATGTTCTGCTGCATTCATGGCTCCTGAAGTTTGTATGTCTACATGTTAACACGTCGCAAAACTCAAAACCTGAAAATGCTGACACGTATTCTTGTGAAAGAGCCTCGTCTCTCTTTGTTTTTCCTGTTTTTTTCATCACATGTTTCATATCCTTTTCTCTACATCCTCCTTTTACTGTCTTCAGCCTCCCTCTCTTTCTCTCTCTCTCTCTCTCTCTCTGTCTTTCTCTTCTTCTCTTACATAATTCTGAATGCGTTGAGCAACCTGAGAACCGCTGTTATTCCAGTGGAACTTCTTTTAATTGGAAGCTGGTGCTTTCTCATGCTCATAAATCACTGGAACCGTTTTTCATTCCAGACATAATTTTTTTCTGTCAATTCTGTTCAATAAATTTCATATTCCTTTTTATTTGGTGGTCTAGTTTCTCTCTCTCTCTCTTGCTCTTTCTCTCTATTCATTTCTGCATTGTGTTTTAAATAGACTTCAATGATGCTTTTTCCATTGTCTTTTCTTGCTTTTTTAAATCAGGAGTGTTTTGGGGTTCAGATGATGTAATGAAAATATTATGCTACTGATCAAAATGTGGAGTCATTTTTATAGTGTTACGAAGGACTAAAAAAGGACTTTATTTAGCAGAATCTTGGAGGTTTTGTATCATGCTTTCCACAAAGACATTAATCAACACAGCAGTTCGACAATGATAAATAAATACAGGGCTACAGACTTACATTGGAGAGCACTCAGATCTTCTGAAATCAGAACTTGGTCCTACTCATTTAAAACACATTCTGAAAAGGCAGAGTAATTATGACTGGAGAGTTTAGTAAACCCTTTTCTTTTGGAACAAGCCCAATAATTCGTTGAGCCAAGTAGTGCTATTTTGTTCAGTTTTTGCTGTGTTTGTTTATATATATATATATCGAGAAGAATTCTAGGAGTCCGGTATATTGGTTGTGGCACTAGTGCAACATCTCTAGCAAAATTGTGTGTTGCGAGTTGTAGACGAGCAGATGGGTAGTTCCAAATGCAGCTTTTTTTTTAGAATGGTCATGCAGGCAGGGGGAAGGGGCTACTATGAGTTTTTTTTTTTTTTTTTGCTGGGTTCATGACATCACAAAAACTAAAATTTACTTTACATGCGAACCAATCAATGCCCATTACTTATTTTTGAGGGAGAGGCTACTACTGTATGAGTTTTTTTCTGGATTTATAACATCACAAGAACTCAAATTTACATAAACACCACCCCTGATGTAACATTTTCTTCAACATGGTTTAGCGAATCAGAGCACATTGGGCCTGCGAACCAATCAGTGCACATTACTTATTTCTGAGGGAGGGGCTACTATGAGCTTTTTTTAGGGTTTATGACGTCACAAGAACTCAAATTTACATAAACCCCACCACCGATGTAACATTTTCTTGAACATGGTCTAGCGAATCAGAGCACACTGGGCCTGTGAACCAATCAGTGTCTATTACCTATTTCTGGGAGAGGGGCCATTATGAGGCTATTGCTGGGTTTTTGACATCACAAGAACTAAAATTTACATAAACTCCACCCCCAATGTGACGTTTTCTTCAACATGCACGAGCAAATCAGAGCACACTGGGCCTGTGAACCAATCAGTGCCTAATACTTATTTCTGAGGGAGGGGCTACTATGAGCTTTTTGCAGGGTTTGTGACAGCACGAAAACTAAAATTTACATAAACTCCACCCCCGATGTGACGTTTTCTTCAACATCAGGGTACACTGGACCTGAGAACCAATCGGTGCCTATTATTTGTTTCTGAGGGAGGGGCTTCACTGGACCAGGAAGTCAACAGATCATTGTAGGTTTTCCATACAGTTTTACACTTGTAAGATCTGTCTGTCTGTCTTTGTCAGTTGCTGGAGCAGGCCCTGGTAATCGAGGAGCAGCTGCGTCGGGCTGCCTACCTCAACATGACCCAGGACCCCACTCACCCGGCCATGGCCTTGAACGCCCGCTTTGCTGAGGTCGAATGTCTCGCTGAATCCCATCAGCATCTCAGCAAGGAGTCGCTCGCAGGAAACAAACCTGCCAATGCCGTCTTGCACAAGGGTGAGGAAAGCGTGCCTGTGTGATAGATCTCATAAATATCTTTATATGGAAAAGACGATGGATCAGAGGGAATGTGTTTGTGTGTAACTTAGACAAAAATTGCTGGCGTCTTTCTTGAGTGCCTGATAAAAGGCCTTGTGGATTGATCCAGCGGGACCAGAGTTCCTGCCAGCTCTGATATGGGAACAGTTCAAGAACACAAGGCACTTTTAATATGTCCTGGAGTTTTCTCAAGTGTGTTGTTTAATCTGTACCGATAAACTATTTATTGGATACCGGTTCATCTGGCCCGCCAAACTTATTTAGCTTACAATTGCTGATAGAACCATAGATAAATTTCACTTTGACAGCCAGAATCAACTGTATTACTTTCAGTTAGCTTTCTGAATCATGAAGTGGTGTGTAAAGCTTTTATTGATGATAAAAAGGAGCCTGTTTTATGCGTTTTAAAACAAGTGCTCATTTAGTATTATTTAATTACTTTTTGAGAATTTATTCTGTTTTGGCTTAAAAACTTACTATTTTTTATATTTTCTTTTTAGAAAGTTTAAGAAGATTAAGTATGCTTTTTGCTAATTTATTTTTTCTCCAAATGTTAATTTATATATATATATATATATATGTTTTTTGTGTGCTTTCAAGATACCGTTTCTTAATTTGTCTTTTTTTATTTATGTAGTTTTAAATTTTTATGTTCAGTTTTTTTCTAATGTTAAGTTTCTCATCTAAGATTTAATTTCAGTATTTATTATTATTATTTTGATTCCAGACAATTTCCATTAGTTTTATGTTTATACACTCACCGGCCACTTTATTAGGTACACCTAACTAGTACCAGGTTGGACCCCCTTTCAGAACTGCCTTAATCCTTAATGGCATAAATTCAACAAGGTACTGAAAATTTTCCTCAAAGATTTTTGTCCATATTGACATGATAGCATCACACAGTTGCTCATTGTCATGTTCAAGAAACCAGTTTGAGATGATTCACGCTTTATGACATGGCACGTTACCCTGCTGGAAGTACCCATCCGAAGATGGGTACACTGTGGTTATAAAGGGATGGACATGGTCAACAACTATGCTAAGGCTGTGGCGTTGACACAATGTTCAATCGGTACTAATGGGCCCAAAGTGTGCCAAGAAAATATCCCCCACACTATTACAACACCACTGCCAGCCTGAACCGTTGATATAAGGCAGGATGGATCTATTCTTTCATGTTGTTGATGCCGCATTCTGACCCTACCATTTGAACGTCACAGCAGAAATTGAGACTCATCCAGGCAACATTTTTCCAATTTTTATTGTTCGATTTTGGTGAGCCTGTGTGAATTGTATCCCCAGTTTTATGTTCTTAGCTAACAGGAGTGGCACCCCATGTGGTCTTCTGCTGCTGTAGCCCATCCGTCTCAAGGTTAAACTTGGTGTGCGTTCAGAGATGCTCTTCTGCATACCTCGGTTAAAGTGAGAAGTTAGAAATTAGAAATTTGCTTTAATAAGCGGTTGGACAGGTATACTTAATAAAGTGGCTGGTCAGTGTATTAGGCTTATGGTTCATCATAACATCTCTTAAAAAGAACAGGCATCTTTTTTTCTGGAAATATGAATCAAATTATTCTGAGGCTTAACTAATTTCAGTGTATTTGAAGAATCTAATATAAAGTTGTAACAACAATGAAGGAATATAATAGTTCTTACCGTACTCTCAGCTGTGAAAGTCAACATCAATTTAAACCTTGTTTACTTTACTAATACATATCCCAGGACGTGTATTTGTACATAAAGTTGAATAGCCCAAACAGGCCGGTTTTCTGCAGAGTTTAGTTCCAACCCCAATTAAACACTCTTTAACCAGATAATATACTAGAAACATCCAGGCAAGCGTGTTGAAGAAAGTTCTCTTGCTAAATTATCCAGGACAGTGGCCCTCTATGACAGAGTTTGGGCCCCTGGTTTAAATCAATCTGATGCATTTGTTTATCTTCAGCAGATTAACACAGTGTTCGGTCTATTAGGTGTTCAAATTAATTGTTTTTTAACTTTTCCAACAACTCCTGTCTGCCAATAATAATTGATTATAATTTTGCATGTTGTAATGATGGGCATTTTTGTAGTGCTAAACCAGTTGGAGGAGCTTCTGAGTGACATGAAGGCAGACGTAACGCGGCTCCCAGCCACACTGTCCAGAGTCCCGCCGATCACAGCCCGTCTGCAGATGTCCGAGAGAAGCATCCTCAGTAGACTGGCCAACAAGGGCAACGAGACACACACACCGCCGGTAAAACACACATTTTCACTCTAGTTTCTATTCATAAAAGACTCTTGAAATAATGTGCCATAGTTTTCACAACTGTTTTAACATTGAAAATGTTAATTAAAAAATAGTTTGGTGCAAATCAGCATGCAACGTGGGTTTCCTCTGGGTGCTCCAGTTTGCGCTATAGTTGAACTAGGAAGCCTAAATTGTCCATAGTGTATGTGTGTGAATGAGAGTGTATGGGTGTTTCCCAGTAATGGGTTGCAGCTAGAAGGGCATCCACTGCGTAAAACATATGCTGGAGGAGTTGGCGGTTCATTCCGCTGTGGCGATCCCTGATTAATAAGAATCGGAGAAAAAAATGAAATATGATTTTAATTAATATTTTTAAGTCTCACTTTGAATAAATGATTCGATAACTCATTCCTACAAACAAAACAATGTTATTTTCTATATGCCTCTAAATTTTTAAAGAATCTCTGGAACTATTCATTGAGGAATACCTTTTAATTGTTGCCCCCTATAGGAGTAAGAATGTAACTGCTACAGCCTTCATTGGAAGCATCAAGTTGCTTTGCTTGCTATCACAGACATCTGTGTTTATATCTCAACTATAAACTGTCATCCTAATAATTCGCTGACAGTCTGAATGTTTGTAACACATAGATATTAATGCAGGTTTTAAAGACTGAAGCTGTTTTACACCGCCTGCTCTCTCTCATATATAAAGATGTAAACTTCAAGCGTTTAACAAACATAAGCCATAATTAGGATCACATGGGTGTTTGAATAAAGACTGCAATGGATCCTATTCACATTTTTGGGCTTTTTAGCAGTGGAAGTCGTAAACTTAGAGTGCAATGAATGGGATACATTTTTTGCATTCCAATTTGGTCAAATAATATATGAAATACTCAATATGCTGTTACCAAGACTTGTGTGAGTGAAAATGTGTGCAACTGATAACAGAGAACAACATCGATTGTACTGTCCTGCCCATAGGCGCTGCATTAAAAACACTTCGCAAAAGCGGTAATTTTTATTTTTTTTATTTTTTAAAAAAAATGTGTAGCTTTATAAATATACATACATTTTTTAAAAAATCTGAATATTAAAAACATTTTTAAGATGCTGACCATTAAAACCGACATCACCATCTTGTTAAAAGGGTCAACCTTCGAACAATTAATCATGCAGCTCTGTATTATGCATATCAAGGTCAAGTATATTTAATACATTTAAATTTTATTTTATAAATTATTTAAAACTATTTTAAAGACTGTCAATTTAGACCAGTGCACATGTTTTAACAATTGATTATGGTTTATACTAGGGATGCAACAATACAGTTAGCCCACGGTACAATACATACCTCGGTTTTTTAACACAGTTTTTGGTTCGGTTTCATGGCTTGACATGTGTTTTATTTTCTAAAGGCAATAGGAACAGTAAGAGGTTAAGGAGAAAAAAATAAAAACAATTTATTGCAATACTCATTTTGTTTTACTCAAAAGCCAAGAAAAGTACACTAGTTCATAGTGTATTGTATAAAAAAAATTAACACTGAAATCTCACAGCTGCTGGTAGCCCATGTACAAACTGGGGAGCACATACATTCCTACACTTTGGAAATAAACATACATGTGAAGTTAATAAAGATAAATTGCCCATTTCAAATAAACACATTTGTACTTCAGTAAATATAAATAAACCATCTTAATTATCTCAGTGCTGAAAAAATGCGAGACTGTAGTCTGTAACGCGGATCGAGTGCTTTTATAAGATGACAAAAGCCCGCATCTCTAATCACCTAAAGGGCTGCAAATCTTTAGCAATACACCCGCACTGTCTTTATTATTTTTATGTGTCTCTCAGAACCAGTTGGGCATGTTTTCTGGAAAGATTCAGCGAGGGACTGTTGCTATTTGGAGGACTTTATTACCTTCTCTGCTATCCTGCCTTCAGACAGGGAAAATGCTGGGTGATGGCGCTGCAGATGTGCAGTCATGGTTATACGTGTAAAACAATGCTTGTACAGTTATTTTTTGTTCACCGTTTTTTCTTTTATTGGCATTATACTTACCGGCAAAACCAAAATGTCCTCATGACATGAGTTTCCTCATCTCAGCTCATGGATTTAGAGGCACACACAGTCAATTCGGGGAGATATTAACGCACATAAATTATTTAAACGCAAAACCGAGAAAACCACAATTCACGAGCGTGTTGAACTGTGGATGTCGTACTAAAAGGTTCAATATTATATTGAGAACCGTGGCATCCCTAGTTCATACTCTTTTTGTGTGTGTCTATGTGTTGTGACATGTATTTGTTATTCTTATTTTTTTGTAACCTTGTCCTATGCTGCCTGTCTTTACCAGGACTCCCTGGTAGAAGAGATATTGTATCTTAATGGGACATTCCTGGTTAAACAATTAAATAAATAAAATAAAAAAGTTAAGCTTTATTGTCACTTTGCAGCATGTGTGGACGTACAGTCGGACGAAATGTCTTGTCTTGCAGGACCACGGTGCTACATAAATAAACAAAATTATAAATATGAACACAAAACTGGACGTACAAGCTCTTTTAAACCTATGCAGAGCAGTACTCAAACTACTAACTATGCATATACTATAAATACTTACACTATACACATAAGACAAACTATACAAGTACTTTTACATAAGACAACAGTATTGTGCAAAGGAGGCAATAAAGTTTGATAAAGACAAGAAGTGCAACATGATTTGTGTTACGTTCACAAGTAAACATTGTTTTTTTTATTATTTAATCCTTGTAAGATGGAGTTTAAGTATCTGATGCATATGTAGAGAACAGTGTTTCTATCAGTGATTTGTATACTATAGTATATTCTAGTATAGTATTACTAGCTTAGCAATGTGGTCACGACAGCCTCTTTTAAAAATATTTGTGTGCCACAATGCATTGCTGTGTAATGCGTTGGCAGTAGACAGCAATGCGGCACACTGAGATTTGGAACAAAGCTCACGTCCATGCCAGTACACTGCTCGATTTCAGCCATTTGGCATTCCTTCGGAGTTTCCAAATGAATCTTACACAACTGTGAATAAAGTTTGTATTTTTTAGCTTCTCAAAACCAAGTGGTTTCTCAGGTTTATGACACAAGCAATCTCTGTTTCTCTGTGTGTTTAGCCTATTCCTCCAGGCCCGTACGCCACCCCGCAGAACTTCGGCCCTCCCTTCACACCTGCACCCTCAGCTGCCCTCGCTCTGGCCGGAGCAAACTACAGCCAGATGCCACCCGGATCCTTCATATCAGGTCAGTCTCGCTGATCCATCCCTAGTCAACACCACCAGTGGACTCAGACTCTGGTGGGCTACTCTGAGCCATTATAAAGGCTTTTTATTTACACTGATGATGAAACAGATCAGTGACAGATTAGTGTGTGTCAAATGTTTGTACTGAATGAAAGTTGTTTGTACACAAAAGCAAGTTAAGGTCTTTTATGAAGTACTAAACTTACATTTTTTATAAGTTCAAAAACACAAGGCACTTTTAATATGTCCTGGAGTTTTCTCAAGTGTGTTGTTTAATCTGCACCGATAAACTATTTATTGGATACCGGTTCATCTGGCTTGCCAAACTTATTTAGCCTGCAATTGCTGAGAGAACCATAGATAAATTTCACTTTTGAATGTCAGAATCAATTATATTACTTTCAGTTAGCTTTCTGAATCATGGATTGGTGTGTAAAGCTTTTATTGATCAAAAAGATACCTGTTTGATGCACTTTAAAACAAGTGCTCATTTAGTATTAGTTACTTTTATAGTATTATTTTTTCCTTATTTTTATATATTTCTGTTTCATTATAGTTTAAATGTGCAGCAAGTAAATTTGACACCCAGTGGTTAAACTAGGTATTGCACACATGGTTCAAAACAAATGCAAGCAAGGGTTGCCAGATTGACGACACCAACAACAATGTGCCTGACTGTTGAGGCTGATTTAAGGCTGATTTAAACAATGTTCTAAAAAAAACGGCACCCGATAGAAGGAATATTTTCCATATTAAAAGAAGGTTTTTGTACTAACAACACATGAAGTTTATATTTTAGAAACAGCTTCTATTTCTTACAGCTGAACATCAGAAAACTTTGATAATGATCACCTCAGGCACACCTCATTATTTAGTGTTAAATACTAACAATGTGAGTTTGAATGCTGTTTTACATAACATTTATTGCCATACTACTGAAAGCAGCAACAGATCTTGAAAATAAAATAAACCGTTTGTTATGGAACTTTAGTGCATGTACATTTAAAAATCACAAAGAGGTTTAATATGTATTAACTAAATTATAAACCTTGACATTTTGTTGAAGTGCAGTAAGTGCACTATTCTGTGCTTCTGAATGGCTCTATTTAAATTTCTGTTGTGTTTAGTCTGGTGCAAACAGCCAGTTTGTGACCTGCTCACCTAATGTTTGCATTCATAATATTTATATTATTTGCTAATTAATTATTGAGAGTCTTTCTGACTGAATAAATCAAATACAATAAGGCAACCTGGGGTGCTGAAATATAATTGGCCAAAGTGGCATTGTGCCAGTTAAAAGAACCAAAACAAAGACAGTCGTTCCGGCATGTAACAGACATTTTCAAAGCAGAATATCTGACTTCAGGCTTTATTTTTTCAGATAAACAAGAATGTTTACTTGGCTTGTTTCTTAAGTATCTGCAAACATATGATGGCATTTTTATGATTTAGAAGAGTCAACAACTTACAGACCTTTTTTCTTGTTTCTGTTTAAAATATTTTTTATTTCAGTTATAGTACTTTAAATTTAGCCTACTTAATTTCAGCTAGTTGCCAAGATAACAATTTATATTTTGTTCTTTTTAATTTACACACGTTATGTATTTCTTTATTTATTTATATTTTCTTCTGTTATGATCTCAACTAAAATGCAGATTTGATTTCATCTGAATGTAGAAAAGTGTGTTGTGTTGTCTATACTCTATAAAATACTAATCATAACCTAAATACGTTCTAAAATAACAAGTTTAATCCACAGTCAAGGCGGTTCATTCTGCTGTGACCACCCCAGAATAATAAAGGGACTAAGCTGAAAAGAAAATGAATCAATGAGGATTTAGTCAAACTGAAATCTGCTTTGACTAGCTGAGGGGTTTTATTTACATGGTTGTTTAGTTGGTTTAAATTTAAAAGGCAGATTCGCATGCCATCTGTTGATCATGGCAGTCATAAAATGTCAAAACAAAGTGCTTCTTGTGAGCAGCTCTGGATTGGTGCATCTGGTAGGTGCCTTAAATGTAAATGTTGAAGTCAATTTTTTTGGAATGTTAAATTCTCCTGTTGCAGAGTAATCTGAAGAGACAGCTGTAGGAAGAACATTTAGAGGCTGATTCTGTTGGAATGGGTATACTCTGTGCTGTTATTAAGATATTACTCTGCAAGTTTGAGCAGCCAATGGATTGACTTCGGGGTGGAGCCACCTGTTCGGGCATCCAATGGTACTGTACATTATGAGAGGAGTGGTCCAAAAACCTGTTTGCACACAGTAATTGTTTTTACAGTTCTGGTTGATGGAGAAGGCGTTTCACCTTCACAGACAGAGAACTTCTGGGTAATGTTAGTAAAATGAGAAGTTCCATTAAAGCAGGGCTGTTAAAAATATTCCATACTGTAGTTTTGGCATTGAAAGGGAATGAGAATTTTTTTTTTGCTGTTTGGCTACATATATTGTACTTCTAGTTCATGTATTGACTTCTAGTTGATCATTTGGAAAAGTGGCAGAAGGTAAATTTTTCAGATGAATCATCTGTGTAACTGCATTCCAATTATCACAAATACTGCAGAAGACCTATTGGAGCCTGCATGAACCCAGTATTCTCACAGAAATCAGTCAAGTTTGGTGAAGGAAAAATCATGGTTTGGTATTACATTCAGTATGGGGGCGTGTGAGAGATCTGCTGAGTGAATGGCAATATCAACAGCCTGAGCTGTCAAGAAATTTGTGCTGTACATTACATTACAAATCACAGGAGAGGGCAAATTCTTCAGCAGGATAATGCTCCTTCTTATACTTCAGCCTCCTCATCAAAGTTCCTGAAAGCAAAGCAGGTCAAGGTGCTCCAGGATTGGCCAGCCCAGTCACCAGACATGAACATTATTGAGCATGTCTGGGGTAGGATGCATTAAATATTAATCTCCTGCAAGAACGATTTCTTTGCCATTCCAGATGACTTTATTAATACGCTATTGGAGTCATTGCAGAGATGTATGGATGCAGTAGTCAAGCTCATGGGAGTCATGCATTATATAATTTTTTTTTCCACTGCTCCATAACTTTATATTCTGTACTGCACATTATTTCTGTTGTGAAAAGACTTTTGTCCAAGCAGTCAGAGCTTACTGTCCTAATTAAATAATTGAAAATCAAGGCATGATCATATTTAATTTTGATAAAATAAGTGTAATCTACAGGCCTTTGCCTTTCATATGACCCACTTTTGATACCAAATCACCAAGTAGAATTTTATTTGTTGTTCTTAAAACTTGGATAGGCGACAAGACTTTAGTCAGGTAGTGTATACTATTTTTGCATTCTTTTTGTAACTGACAGTAAGTGAGTAAATGAGATGCTAATTCATAAGTTCTTTCAAAGATTGTAATTCTTTAGCTTATTCAAAAATATTTTTTGTATCTCTTACACCTTTAATTGCGTTAACTGTTAGTGAATAGGACTACACCGGTATTATTTAGGTAATGTTGTATCTTCATACTGTATATATTTTCATTTCTCTTTTTAACTTGTTAAATTTCTAAATATTGCTATTTAGGCTAAATTTATACTTATTTCCATTGTAGTTTTATCTTAATATTTGATTTAAATGTCCAGGTAGTATTAATGTCCTTAAACCTGAACTAAATGTTTCTAAAATGTTAAATATTGCCTTGAAATAAGCTATTAAACATATTATTATCTATAATGTCAATAATCATGTGTAATATATCTGTTTTATTTCAGCTTCATTTTAAGTAACACATTTGATAGTTTTACATTTAGTTAATTATAATAACTGCTGGACTACACTGCTCATCTAAAGCAAGTAGTAATGTAATGTTTGATAAATGATCTCAGTGGACAGCGCTTAATAAGATTTACTTATGATTAACGTGGCAAAATCCACACATGATTCAACTTCCCTCTGTCTCCCTCTGTTTTTTTTCTCGCTCTTTCTCTCTCTGTCTGTTTGTGTATATGTGGGTGTACGAATGCTCTATTTCACAATAATTTGTGAGGTCAGTGTATGCGAGGCTGGATTTGACATTTGGTACATAGTTTCTCTACAGAGCACTTTGAAGGTGTAGATTTAATCAGTTGCCAAACTTGCAGTGAACTGCAAGATTTGTGTGCCACAGATTTCGTTTATAATTTTGTTCATCATAAAACACTGTTACAGATTTAATCCCTGCTTAGTATGTCACTGTTAGAAATGAAAGCACATATTGTGTACTTAGTTAGAAAAAAAACTGACATTAGTAACACTTTATGTTCATATTTCAGTAAAAATATGATTCTGGTTAGCACCCTTAATTACATTTTAATTTGAGAGGGCCCCTGTGGAATTTTGGCTAAATAATTTCACGTTTTCCGTCTTTGGTCCAAGAGAACAGATTAGCCCTGCCAGTGAGTTTATTGTTTCAATATTAGCTCTGTAACAGCATATGTGTGCAGGAAGCACTGAGAAGAATAAATGTAGTTGTATTTGTTTGCCGTTTTCTGTTTATTCTGTAAGAGGCCAAACTCCGTCCATCGTCCCGACTGTTTTTACTCGTACAGAGTTGAAGCATTTCTGCGTTGACTGTCCTGATACCAATCTTTCTACCACAGTGTCTAAGGGAGGCATATTTTCTTGCCATGGTGCTTTTTCTGAAAATGTCATTACAGTTATCCAGAACCTTAGCCGTGCCAGGAATCACTCAGCCAAGGGAACATTTTTTTCTCTGCTACTCAGATATTTTTAAGAGAGTGAAAAAAAAGAAAGAAGAAAAAACCATAAAGAAACACAAATGTGCTCGTGCTTTTACGCCGGTTTTTTAACCCCCCTGGAGGCAGAACTAGACTCTCATTCGCTTTCTCTCCGTCTGCCTCTCGCTTTCAGTCACTGAAATAGCCCCAGACTTTAGATCCTGGTGGGTGTAGAGGCTGATTGGGTTTGTTGAGGCTGTACACGCTGAACCCTCGCCTGGCTAAAAATATGCCCCGCTTGGGGCCCGTTTGAACCCTCTGGTCCCTGATTGAGACAACTGCGGTGACCCCAGCTTAAACTGAGCCAGGGAGAGAGATGAAAACAGCATGCCAGACTAAACAAAAAATGAGAGAAAGAAAGAGATATAAAAGAACAGAGAAAATGAAGGACAGGCTGTGTTGATCTGTTTAACGCACTCCATAATAGGACATTTTTTGGACCCGGTCTGACCTCTCTGAAAGACAGAGGAAGAAGTGAGAGGGAGGAGAGAGACAAAATGGAGTGTGAGCACCGATTTGCTTTGGTAGAAATCCTAGCGGACTCCGTTACATCTCTCTCGATCATTCTTAAAGTTGTCAGACATAAAGACCTTGGCGAGCGTGTCTTGTTTTCTTTTTTAAGTCATTGCTACTTAAACTCTTAGCGTTTTACATGTCATGAACTTTACGGAGCAAAAGGTTTTAGACACATTATGTCAACACGGATTTCTTTGGCAAAAACCGCCTGAACTGCTAACATCTTTTTTTACTTTGTGAAAGTTCAGTGCATCACTGCTCTCGCAGTCAGTGGATGTCCTGACTTTGAGGACTTTTCTGGATTTTTGTAAAAGCGAGAGATTCGAGACAGCAGGATTTTATGAATTCTTTGCTCCTTCTTTCAGCCTCCTGCCAACAGTTATGGGTGTTTTTGTTCTTTTAATGTTGAGGACTGATACTTGTGCCACTCATTGACCACTCCCAACCCCCCCAGTGTCTACAGTCTGCCCCCTTTCTGCCTCCACAGAAGCTCCGTCCTGCCTGAAGACCAAGGAGCATGACGTGCTGCAGCGCCAGAGGGTAGTGGACCTGTGGAAGGACGGCAAGTCGGAAGGGACAATTGGGCAGGAGCTTCGCATGCCCAAATCCACCGTACACAGCATCATTGTAAAGTATCGCCTCAGCAACACTGTGGAGAACCTGCCGCGCAACGGACGCCCCAAAAAACCCTGATCTGAACAAGCGAAGAAGAAAGGGACTGTGTGGGAATGTGTGGGGCCGATAAATTGGATGGGAGGGTACACAAAGGTGGGAATGTCTAAAAATATTGCAGCAAGCTAGGAAGAGCTACTGGACTTCTTGAGAAGAGGTGAAATGGTTAATAATAGACAAAAAAAAAGAAGTAGGGAAAAAGGGAGCTGAAACAAGAGCCGCTTGGACGACAAAAACACAGACCTCTTCTTCCACTTCTGCTCTTTCCAGTGCTTTTTCCCTTCTTTCTTTCTATCTCTCTCCCTTCCACTCTCACTCTGTCTCCCCTTGCCCCCTCCATTCCCTTCCCTTTCATCTGTCGGTCCGAGAGAAGTCTCAGCAGATTAATTTTTCATTTGGCCGAAGGAGCGAGAGTGCTCGTTTAAGTGCCCGAATCCTTCCCTCCCTAATTCCATCGCAAATCACTATTTCTCTGCATCCCTTTATACAGCATCTCCTTTATCATTTATCCTTCTCTCTTTCACATGCACCCAATGTCAGAAGTGAAGGATTCCAAAGACTGATGTTTTTCCAAAATACCACAAGTTTGCTTTCTGTCATTAAAACGCCTGTCCCAATCAAAACTGCTTTGAAGCTGAGGCACAGTGAAGTGGAACTATCTTTTTTTTTCCTGCGGACCTCTTGAAAAATCCTCCAGCCGTGGACTCTCTGCATGCCGAAAAACAGGACTGTGAAATGTTACAGTGGCATGAAACTGCTCCACTTATATACTGTATGAAGACATATATATCTGCAACCTGACCAGAGTGGGGATGCAGAAAGAAATATATCTGTGCCTGATCTGGGATCAGTTTTAAGATTAATCATGTCTGAGTCAGAAGACCTCCGTGCTGAGTGTGCATACGACTCAACCTGTCTGACCAAATTCCTGCACTGTCTAAGAGCCAGATTCAATCCCCGGTGGGACGTTTATACAGTACACCACTGTTGTATGAGAACTCCCTGCATTCTGCAAAAATGCACAAACACACCCACGTGTGCACACACACTCACACTGGAGAGCCACTTAAGCAGCTCTTTATTTTCCACCACGTGGTGGTGTGTTTTATTGTCGAGGCTGAGTGTGTGCGCATGGTCTTGCATTATGAGTGATCTGAAGCTAATTGTGCGTTTGTTCATGTTCGGATGGGTTGATACTGTACAAGTGAAGATTCAGGGTTGCTTGCTTGTGTGTGTGTGAGAGCGAGTGATTAATTGTATGAGTGTTCTGGTTGTTTGGACAGGCTGGGTCATTGAGGCCAGCTGCCATATCTGCTTGTTTTTCTGGTTTACTGAGAGGTAGAGGGACTGGTTGAGGCAGGCTGGTGTGCACCAGCAACATTTGTTGCCGGCAGATAATATTTGGTTTAGAGAAAGTGGCATGCAAAAGACTGATGCTTGAAAGAAAGACAACATGAGAAAGGCAGCAGCTGAGTAAGCAGTTATTATGGCTGGCTAACAGGTTTTTTTTGATAATTAATCTGTTAGTTCTCCAACATCTTCCCTTGGATTCTCATCAAATCATGAGCAATATAGATTACATTTAATCTTAATATTTATTCATGAAAATCAGCCTTTTCTTTTGGTGATTTATTGCTTAAGAAACATTTATTATCTATGTTGAAAAGCAGTGTTTAGCTTTAAATTTTTGAAAACAAAATATTACACCTGTTTAAAGAACATGAATAATTTTAAACAATCATTAATAACATTATAAATGTCTTAACTGTCGCATTTAATAATAATAATAATTATTATTATTATTGGTAGAGAGGAGACAGAGTGGTGATGAAGCCAATTATCATATGAGGATGGTTAGGAGGCCATGATGGACAGGAGCCAGTAGACATTTGGCCAGGATGCTGGGGATAAACCCCTACTCTTTTTCGAATGACATGCTGGTATTTTTAACGACCACAGAGTCAGGACTTCAGTTAAATGTCTTATCCAAAAGACGGTGCTCACTGAGCAGTATAGCGTCCCCTTCACTTTACTGGGGCGTGAGGACTCATACAGACTGCAGGTTGAGCGCCCCCTGCTGGTCTCATTACACCACTTCCGGCAGCAATCTAGCTTTTCCATGTGGTCTCCCATCCAGGTACTGGCCAGGCTCGGCCCTGCTTAGCGTCAGTGGGCGACCATGTGAGAGTTGCAGCTAGTTGCCAGTGTAAGTGACATTGCTGGTGACATTTGATCAATTCACGGCATCCCTTTAAAATAAAAGTATTTTTTGGCCCAAATTTTAGATCGGTTACCTTGAATCATGCATATATAATTTTAGTTGTCTAGTAAAAGATCTTATACATAATCTCCATTTAACATCAAACTACAAATAATGATTCAAAAGTAATCACTGACCTTCAGTCCTCTGTGTATTTATTGGATAATACATTTAGATTATTTCCATTTATTCATTCATTATTATTGATTTTAACAATTGTTGCAGCAGCCGTATTCGTAAGAGACAGACAGCCTGCGAGAAAAAAGAAAGTCAACCTGAGAAAGTGAAGCAGCAAGGAAAGCCAGTCTGACAGAAACACACAGTCTAAGTGAAACGTTTTGGAAGAGAAAGACAGTAGTTGTCTGAGAGAGACAGAATTACTGAAGCAGCCTGTAAAGAGAGTGAGACAGTCTGAAAGAGAGACAGTCTGAGCCAGATAGTTCCAAGGTTGTTGATTGTAGAAGCAGAGAGTCAAGTCACTCCGAGATCTGAATCTGAGTAATGAATTATTTTCCTTGGCTGGCGCAGCAGGAGTATGCAGTACAACGTTCAGAGATATGAAAGTCACCCGGCGGGTTTCTAGCTCAGCATTTCCCCCTTTGTAAAGGAGCCCCAGCGCATTCCAAGCTTTTTCCAGACGCGTTCCCATCTGAAGGCCATGCATTCTTCTTCTCTTATTGCATGTTTACGAAACGGTGCCAGTCTTAATCAGATAATTGAACTCAAGCGTTAGCATTAGCCTGTTCCAGTGCACGCTTTTCTGTTTTTATTTTTTTTTCTTTCTTGCACACCAGCCAAAACCTGCAGCACAACAAAACGACTCTGGTGTTATTGTCCTTGGAAAAACTTTGGTTGTGTAATTTTGAGGAACGCCAGCCAAGAGGGATTGTTGCTTTAAAGATCATGCAACTGCTCCTCGTTGCCCTGCATGTTTAGGCCTGAGACAAAACAGGTACGTCAAGTCCGCAATCATGGTAGCTGTCAGTCAACTTGTGTTCATCTTATTGTGCAAGCAGCAAATGACAAATGTCTGGAAATAGAGATGCGGCCTCTTAAAGGCAAGAAGAGTATTAGTAGCACAGCTGTAGTGTTGATATTGCAGCAGGAGCTTTTTGAATGAATGTAGCCTGAAACTTCAAATGGGAGTAATTGTTTAAACCAAAGGTATTAAATACTGTAATATTAGAATGGAATCTAATAGAATGAAGTAGAATAGAATAATTTAGTCATATTTGCAAAATTTAGCTGTCATTTTCAAAAAATCTAGTCACAGTAGCAAATTTACACACACTGTAAAAAGCAATTAGTTACTTTATTTAGAAAAATAGAGTAAATACGTTGTAACTTGAAACGATTAAAGAGGTCACACTGCACTTTTCACCCCATATACTTGCATTCATGTACATGCGGCAGACCAACCCAGGCTTATTATTAATATGTACCAGGGATGCAACAATACAGTTAGCCCACGGTTCAATACATACCTTGGTTTTTTGACACAGTTTTCGGTTCGGTTCTCATGGCTTGACACATGTGTTTTTTATTATTCTATAGACAATAGGAACAGTAAGAGGTTAATGAGAAAAAAAATAAAAATGATTTATTGCAATACTCATTTTGTTTTACTTAAAAGCCAAGAAAAGTACACTAGTTCATAGTGTATTGTATAAAAAAAATTAACAGTGAAATCTCACAGCTGCTGGTAGCCCATGTACAAACTAGGGAACACATACATTCCTACACTTTGAAAATAAACATACATGTGAAGTTAATAAAGATAAATTGCCCATTTCAAATAAACATATTTGTACTTCAGTAAACATGAATAAACCATCTTAATTATCTCAGTGCTGAAAAATGCGAGACTGTAGTCTGTAACACGGATCGAGTGCTTTTATAAGATGACAAAAGCCCGCATCTCCAATCACCGAAAAAGGCTGCAAATCTTTAGCAATAAACACCCGCACTGTTTTTGTTATTTTTATGTGTCTCTCAGAACCAGTTGGGCATGTTTTATGGAAAGATTCAGCCTGGGATTGTTGCTATTTGGAGGACTTTATTACCTTCTCTGCTATCCTGCCTTCAGACAGGGAAAATGCTGGGTGATGGCGCTGCAGATGTGCAGTCATGGTTAGACGTGTAAAACAATGCTTGCACAGTTATTTATTGTTTACCATTTTTTCTTTTATTGGCATTATACTTACCGGCAAAACCGAAATGTCCTCACACCGCAGATTTAAAAGACACCAGCGTTTTCTCGTACTGTTGCCTCACTTCGCTGGCGCTTCCTCGTACTATTGCCTCAACCTAACTTCACCGCCGCTCGCCATGTTAAAGTGGTGAATGATGGTCAAGCGCCCCCTAACTTTAGAGCATAGTGATTGGATATATACTCGTTAAAAAGTTCATACTTTGTGATCTTTGACCTGCAAAATCGCATCACATGATTAAAAAAAAACATGTACTTACTATATTTCTGTACAGAAATTTTAATTATGAAGCAATTGCATGTTTTTTTGTTTGTTTAATCTCCCCTTTTCACAGTGCCATACAACAGAATTTCACATGCTCAAACTCTAGTAACTGCAGTTTAAATTGACACCACTTCATTTATTCATTTGCCTTTGGCTTAGTCTCCATTTCAGTGGTCACCACCTAACCACTGAGCCACCCTGTTGCCCTGTTGACACAACTTAAAATTATGCATTCAGTTCATTTACTTACTTTTAAGGCAGTAGGTTTTCTTACTTATTAATTAAAGTAAATTCAACTAAATGGTTTAAAAGCTACAGGTTTACTCACTTCAAGTCAACTAATGTCTTTTTACAGTGTGGCCAACTTTACTGACATCACGCCAATTTCTCATTTGCACTCATTTCAGTTTTGCCTCTGAAATTTCACCAAGTACTGCTAAATGTGACTTCACTCTTCATCCATAGGTCAATTGTCTTACATCACATCAGCATAGGTCAATTGTAGTCATGTTTACTGTCACTAGAATAACTGTTATGTGCTGTAGGATATCCCCAGCAGGAAAGTTAGACATTGTTTGTGTTTATACACCCCTCATAGAACTGCAGTGATCATGCCTGTCTGAGTCATACTGTGAGTTTGCAGAACAACACCTACAAGCATAGTAAGCTAAAGAATTTCAGACACTATACACTCACTATGTGCTTGTGTTTAGTGAACTAAAATGCTCAGTACTGTTGTCCTCACTTATAAGTCTTTATAGAAGATGAGGTTTTGTATTATTATTATTGTATGGTGTATAGTATACTCTGACTGTATGCAAGTTAACCCATTAAAGGAGATCCACAATGGAGCACAATGTGGCTTATGTTTATTTTTGTCTTTCTGTGGCTTGCTAGGCATGCGTAAAATACATGTATCTTATATTATTTTCATTTCTGTCAACTGACGCTAAACATTTTATTCGTGCATGTTTATTGGAGACATCTTATAACACTATTATTTAAAACACAGAAAATAACAGAAAAAATATATAGAATTATAGTAGTTACACTTTCAGGTACACAGTCATCTTTTTTAAAAGATTTTTTATTTTACTGACAGTTAATCAGGAAGTGACGATTTTGTTTTCTTTGACTCGTTGGATGGAAACGCTGCTTTATTTGCAAGACTTTTATGCGATAATCCAGTTTTGAGTATAAATTTAATTCACATCTTTGGATGGAAACATAGCTAATGAAAGATCAAGATACTGCAATTGAGTTCAAAATTTCAAGTCAAAAAACTAAAATAATAAAAATAAACCTAAATAGACAGTATCTGCATTTTCATTAGGGTTCAAACTGAAATCGCACCTATAGAAAATTCTAATGAACGTAAAAACGTTTTAAGCTCTAATGAAGCTGTTTTTTTCAGGCAATTCATTTTTGCAGTGTTAACAGTTTTTAGAGGTCACTTGCTGTTAATGAAAGTCGCATGTTTATTTTTTGAAGATGCTGCTGTATGTTTGCACAGAAGATGAGACTAAACAGAGATGGCTCTGTGCTTATTAGTAGAAACTGGCTCTTTTTGGCGTGAGGCAGCAGGCGCTACTGCATTGGACAACTTTAAAAAAGGTTGATCTGTTACACACTACCTCTGAAAAACTGCACACTATAACCTCCCAGAGACACCTCATACAGGGCCACACATGTACAAAGGACTTTCTTTGCCATTAAAGCTTAGATAACAAGCATACAGTACATCTTCTTTGATTAAAAGTTATAGGTCATTTGGTGTCTGTGATATACAGTACATGAACTTACCAACATCCGTCCCCATTATTTTGGAATAACTATTAAAAAATACATAGTTGGAATCAGTCGTTTTGCACTAGCTTATTTTAATTGACGTATAGAAAATACATACATTTTCACAG